CTCCATATCAACGCCTTCGTCTTCGTCCGAGATCGGGTCCAGGTCTGCGACTCCTTCATCCGCGTGTACGTGTTGCTTCTTCGCCTTCGCGTCTCTGCGAGCCAGGACATCCAGCGGGTTCTGTATGCGCTTTTCCAGCTGAGCCATCTTGGCCTTGTCTTTCTGGCTCATGGCCTTTCGGAAGATCTTGATGCCACGGTCCTTGCGGTATGTTGGGCTGATGCCCTGGCAATTGCCGCAGGTCTTGCGCTTGCTGAGATCGGCGTAGAAGTCCTTGACCACTTGTCGCCGCGCGTCGGAGATGGTCTCATTCTTGTCGCGTATCGATCGTGCATCGTGCTTGGAAATGTTTGCTCGTTTCATGCACTTCTTGACGTAGCTGTTGCGCTGTGTGATGATGTCGGCGTTGTCATCGTCGTCGTCGTCTTCCGAGTTGTCTGCATTCTGAGTGCTGGACTTGCCCTTGTCCATGTTAATATGCTCGTGCATCTCGGCTGCCTCTTTTACCAATCCACATCGTATTAACCGCAGCTTGGAGACGAATTCGTTGATCTGAACGCGGGCGAGCTTGAGCTGGTGGCAGTATGCACACTTGCCCCGGAGCAGTCGAAGCAGCTGGTCCATGAAGGTGAGGTGATATACGGGTACGGGAAGCTCGATGTGGCCGCAGTGGCCGGGACAGCCCAGGAAGCTGGTGAGACCGCATGTTCCGCATCTTGAAGTTTGTTAGCGGAATGAACAGAGCTGACAGAAACATGGTGAAGCTCACGGGTTGTCCAGGAAAGCGCCCAATGCAGCATCGTGCAGACCGCCGGGTACGGGGTGAAGCAGTGTATCGAAGGTGGTCGGGTTCGTGATGCGCTTCACCGAGAGCGACTTGATGTCGTTTGTGGTCAAGAAGCCAAACTCGACGCCATTAATGGCCGAGGAAGTTGGCTGGTGGGTATTCATGACGGCACCTATTTGCCTGTTGCGCTTTCTGCCGGGAGAGAATCGCGCGCAAAGGCGTTCAGTGAAGGTTCGCAGCAGGCGCGAGACTTGCGGGGAGTTTTTTCGGGACCAAAAAAGTTCGGCCAGGGTTTAGCCGGCACGCGCCAAGACGCTTGCTGAGCGGCAGCGTTGATTTCGCGTCACTCCGCAGCGACTGGTTTCCATCATCAAATCAACCTCACCCCACTCACTCGTCGCATCCGGTCGACAGTCGCCGGCTACATCCTCCGCGCATCGAATGTAGTGAATTGCCTCGAGTCTGCACAGCGATCCCGCGACGACCACGACGACGCGCCGTTTCAATCAAACTCGACCTCCGCACCTCCGCATAGTCCGACCACACGACCAACACTCCTTTACCTACCACACTCCACCATGACCATGGCAGAGAAGCGCCCATACCCTGACGGCCAGGGCCCCAACGGGGACGCAAAGCGCGCAAAGGGCTCTGATGCTGTCGAAGCCGCAAAGGCGAAAGCCAAGGCAAAGGCTGCCGAGATTGCTGCCCGTTTCGCAAAGCCGCCTGCTGCTGCTGCGGCTCCTCCGTCGGCATCGGCTGGCGCAAGCGAGTCTGTTCAGGACAAACTGGCCGCTATGAAGGCGAGGATGGAGGCGCTCAAGGCTGGCTCAGGAATCGCCAAAGCCCCAACGCCCGACTCCACCGGGCCTCGCTTTGCGACAACACTGGGCAACCGCCGCTCCGAGACGCCTAAAGTCGATCCCAAGGCCAAACCTACCGCCTCCAAGCCGAAACAACAACAAGAGGAGGAGCTAGAGAACCCGTACTTCGATCCCAAGGCTGCCGCCCTTGCCAAGAAGAGAGGTCCTCGTGTTCTGGCCTTCAATGAGCATGGAAAGTACCTTGACCAGGCCTCCAAGCTGCGCGCGCAACGTCGCCTGGAGGAGATCAAGAAGACTCTGGCTATCCAAGCCCGCCGTGCTGGCCTGGACGAGAATAGCGAGCGCGGATTCCTTGTTCAGGCCCCTCCGGACATAGAATGGTGGGACGAGGGCATTTTGGCCGAGCCCACCTACGAGTGCATGGATGACCCAAGCAAGGTCAAGGTGGAGACTGACGATTCTATCATCACTCTCTACGTACAGCACCCCCCTCTCCTGAAAGCGCCTCAGGACCAGCGTTTAGTCCAAGTAAAGCCCATGTATCTCACCACAAAGGAGACACAGAAGCTAAGAAGAATGCGCCGTGCGGCCGACCTTAAGGAGCACCAAGCGAAGATCCGTCTTGGATTGGAGCCGCCTCCACCACCCAAGGTCAAGCGTGGAAACATGATGCGTGTCATGGGCGAGCAAGCCATTGCAGACCCTACTGCTGTAGAGATGCTTGTCGAATCGCAGATCCAGCAGCGTCACGATGACCACATCACCGCAAACGAAGACCGCAAGTTGACCAAAGAAGAGCGACAGGCCAAGCTTGCTGCCAACCAGGATAAGGACGCGCAAAAGGGTCTTTACATGTGCGTTTTCAAGATCAACACACTCGCCTATGGCAAACATCGCTTCCAGATCGACAACAATGCAAAAGAATACGCACTTACCGGTATTACCCTGTTCAATCCCGATCTCAATCTGGTTGTCGTCGAAGGCGGCGCATATGCAATCAACAAATACAAGAAGCTTATGCTCCAACGTATCAAGTGGCATGAGAACGGGCCACCTACAGAGAACCAGGCCGAGAAGCAAGCACATGATCCAAAGTGGCTGAGGCCAGTCACGGATACTGGAGACGTAAAGGACCATTCATCCAACAAGTGTATCCTCATCTTCGAGGGTGAGATCAAAGAGCGCTCTTTTCGGAAGTGGGGCTCAAGAGTCTGCGAAACCGCTGGAGAGGCTCGCGAGACACTTGGAAGGGCCAAACTTGACAGCCTGTGGGCCCTGGCCAAAAGTATGGAGTGAGCACTTCTGCTTTTCGAGTTCTGGACAGTCCGGAACTATACAACATATTTGGCGACTTTATGCGACTTTGCATCGGACATACACCATTTCAGGACGCTCGTTTGGGCAAGCGAATTCGCGAAGGACTTCTTTTCATGCCAAATGTAAGTTTACTCATAACTCCATAGTTTGGAATATACGTATTAATGCACACCTTTCTTGGTCCAGCCTCGCAATTGTGATGTTGCGTGTAGTTCAGATCTACCTAGTCTAGGCTAGTCGTGCCGTGACAGAGCCCGTTCGATCTATTGCCCTAAGTTACCTTGTAGTGATCTACGGTAAGTGCTGCAGTATCCGTCCTCTACTGTGAAGACTATCTGGCATAACTCGAAACAAGCATCATCGTAGGTTTATTTCTCGTGCTTAGTCGTTTCTAAATTTTACCTCAATTGCTTCTTCTATTCTCTTCCTTGTGCATACGCGGCAACACACATGTTCATCAAGTTTTCAAAGTAGATTGTTTTCTTGGCCGAGTCGCCCCAGGACCCACTTTCAGCAGCCTCGTTGGCCTGAGCAAAATGCTGGTCGTAGTCCCCTAGATAGCGGGTTGGGCGCACTTACCAGACTGTTCGCTACGAATGCCTCCACGCTACCTCATAACCCCCTCCTACGCCGGCAGCGAGGACTGTGTGTTCTCCTCGGTGTAATGCGGGCAGGTATTGCAACACAATTTCCAGCAATTTAGTAGTCTACCGTGAGAGCTTTATTGTTCTACCTTCTCTCAACGCATACCTCAGTCAATGATGCTCGGCGGCACTCAAGATACTTTGAGCTGTCCTATGTAGGCTAAGAACGCCGCGAAGTTATCCAGGCCCATGTTTAAGGTGTTCCACGTGCATGCTGGGTGTTCTTTCCATTGTAGGGAGACGGGAGGAGCTGAGAGCTGCACGTGGTGGGCTTCGCTGACGTTTGCAACCAACTTCGTTACAGTATGTGCAGTCATCCCAAACCATGGTTACGTCAATTTCACACCCGTTAACGGAAGGGCCCTGCTCGCATCCATAAATTGTGCCTACCACCAATTTTCATCCATCTCTCTATCACACACACATACACATACACATCTTGTTCTGCGACCATCTCAGCCATGACACGAACGAGTGATCTATACGAAAGATGCACCTGTGCCTCCAAAGCCGTCTGGTGGGTCCTCTGCAACTCGCCGGCTATGTACATCACACTATTCCTTTGGTCGCCAATTTTTCCGCTGTTAGCTTCACGAGGATTCATCATGGACTACTACGAGCATGTCTTCGGAATGCCTACACACAGTAGCTGGCTTCAATACCTTTACGTCGACACTCCCTACACTGCTTACATCAACAACTGGGTTACCCTGACCTTGGTCCTGGACATCCTGGTTCTACACACGTACGAGCGCATACGTAGACTTGCGTACTTCGAAGACCCCGTCACGGGACCTCTCGTTGACATCGAGAGCACTGTTTCGTTACCAAAATACTCAACTATACGCAATCTCTTCACCTTTGCGTCTCCAGGCCACCCTCTCTGTCCGGCGTCGAAACCGCGCCGGATCTTTATGATCTTCTGGATCTTCATATGCGTCATGGCAACGGCAGCGATGGTGACATGGAAGTTGCATCAATGGGTTTCAGACTTCTGGAAAATGTTGAATCTTGTCGTTTCGATAGTAAGCAAGGCTCATTCCGGATCGTGGAGGCAGTATGCGAAGATGCCGAAGGCTGGCATGCCTGGGGTGCAGTTGCCGGAACAGATCCAGTATCATGGGTGTGTCATTGCTGTAGTACTTGTTCTTTCGTATTTGTATTTGGCCTAGGCTTTTGGGCGCAGTCAATCAATACCAACTCCCAGTAATGAATACTTCCATCACTTCGATCCTTGTCTTGTTGTTCTTACTCCATGATTTGCCAAGAATACCAAAATGTTGTGAGTGAGAAAAAGGAGGAAAGACAAGATGTATACTTAACATGAGGTAACACTATATTCATGTGGAAAACGTATATGCAAAAAGATAGAGGAAATAGTAAAGACTATAAACTGCTCTCGATACACATACACTTGGAGAATTATACTTTGAAAAGATTGTGTTGATTAACATCTTCGTACTGCATCTACACTTGATATTAAAGCTTGTCCGTATTCCCGTCTCTTTCTCCATCTATCCATTATTCAAGCCAACACTATTCCTATCTAAACACCCAAATACGTCCCGCTGGTAATCTTCTTAACAGTAGCTACAGAGTTCCACCCAATCGCCGGACTAGCCGGCGCATTCTCCTCTGCATCCGCAAACGGATCAGCCTCGCCATCGTCCTTCTTCGCGTTGAGAGGCGCCATCATGCTAACACCTAGCCCGCTACCCAGAGTCAAAGACTGCTCATCGCTAATCTCCCAGCGGGCTTCCGTGTTACCAGGTTTGGCCTGGCCGTCAGTTACGAAGCGTGCGCGTAGGGTTTGGGGGGCGGAGCCTTGAAAGAGGGTTACGTCGCCTAGACGCCAGTAAATGAGTCCCTTGTCGCGCGAGAAGGTACCAGTGGGCTTCGATTGGCACGACGTCGCTTTCGACCCAGGCTCGAGTCGAATCACAAGGACGAGATTGCGAATGGTGATGCTTGTGGCACCGCCAAGTTCGAATCTGGGGTTGAGGGAGTAGTTGAGGATGGCAGACGTCTGTGTCGGTTCTGATTTCCAGGCTGGGGACAAAAGAATTGGTGGGAGGGAGCCGATGTTGCTGTCTTCGATGTGTAACTGGTAGTGAAAGGCTACCGATGTCTTCATGATCTTTGACAAATCTACGGTGTAGTTACCCGGGCTATCTGCCGACTGCTCGATGAATGCAGGATTAGGGGCAACCTTCTCGAGTACAGGAAAGTTCTCCAAACGTATACTCTCAGTGCCGAAAGGACCGGCAGAGATGTCGACAGGGTTATACGCAAGCGCAACCTGCCCGATTACCATTGCCTTGGTAACGTTGCCCTGCTCGAACCACGCGCTGACGGTCTCCACTAACGACGCATTGAGCCCCGGTTCATGCAGGTCCGGGTGTCTGATTGTGGTACTAGCGGAGCTACTTAGCGATCGGCCCGAGCGGATGGATTGTGTATCCGATGTGGCATGGTCTTCCGATAACAATGCGCGATGTGGAGGCTTGAAAGCTGGAGATGTAGGTTGAGGAGGGATAGCAGGGGCAGGAAACGTTGCTGAACCAGGGCCGGAAGCGGGACCAGATTCACTTGTTGGGAGCGGAGGCACCTCGCCTATGCTTTGAAGTTCTGGTGTTGCGGGGTTCGGTACGAATATCGTGTTACGAACATCTCGGCGACCACGCAACGTGCTTGATCGTTTTGGCTGTGCGGCTTGCTGTCCAAGTTTTAGCATATATCCTTTGAGTATTTCCAGTATTGCTTACTGCGCGCAGAGTGTTGACCAGGTTGGCGGTAGCTGCATCAGCGTCACCGTCCTCTTCCTGGATAGGAGCATTTCTAATGTCAAGCTTGAATTGTGGCGGTGGATTGCCCTCATTTTGTGCCCTGATTCCGGTTAGCTACGTAGACTTTTAGGGAGTAAACAATCTTACAGTCCTGCTTCCCTCTCGGCTTCCGAGATGGCATCCAGAGCGGATGGGGGCACAGAGAATCCTTCAGAATCCTTTTCCGGTTCTGGCTGCGTCTCTATAACTGGGAGTGGTGGCAGGGGCTCTTTGAGCTCTGGTATAGACTCTTGAGCTGGCGTTGTTCCGTTCACAGCGCCTGGCGCGTCTGCCTCAGCGGACGACTCAGGTATGGTGCCGTTTGGGGCAGCCTCAGTGCTGCCCTGGCGGGTGAGGCTTGGGGAATCAGATCTTTGGGAAGTACTGGGCCTCTGCGAGAGGCGTCGTAGAGGCGAAGTTGGCCGTTCTGCAGTGGTGCTCAACGAGGAGCCCTGGTTCTCATTATTCTTTGCTTTGCCCTTGCCGAATCCACCGAATACCGAACCAAGGTTTGACGAAGAGTTTCGGTCTGGTGATGTCGCTCTGCCGTATGGATGCGCACTCTGTCTCCGTCGCCCCAAAACTGTCCCAAATCGCTTGAGAGGATTGGAGCTGTGTTTCTCGACAGAGCCGCTCTTCTGGCTCCTGTTGTCATCCGCTGCAGTGGGCGATGTTGGCAGAGGAGGAGGCGGTGCGAGGTTTCTCGAAGGAGTCCCTGGAATGCTCGGCTTTCGCACAGGTTGCGGTGCATCTCCGTTCCGCATCCTCAATGCCCACGTTTGTATCTCATCGGCTGTTTCGATGTTCAGCATGGCGTTCAACGTCTCTTCAGCTGTGGTCCTGCTGCGCTCCACCTGGTCGACTTCATGGGTTTGGAATTGCGTGAGCACATCGCGTAGGTGGTTCAGACGGGTCTCATCAATGGCCTGCAGTTGCTCGAAGACGTAGGGTGCTTGCGAGTCCCATTGCAGCTCAGCCTTCTCGATGTCCTGCACGGCATCGGCAACGGCGGACGCTTTGGCCTTTGATCCCTTATCGCGAAGTTTGCCTTGCTTCTTCTGCGCCGTGTCGATGTCTTTTGCGATTGCGGACAGGTTTCCCTGGATGTTGGCCATGGCCAGTACATCTCGGTTGCTGGCGGTGAAGTCGCGCAGGGGGCGTTCGACGTCGGCCTCGATCTTGGTGGCCAGGTGCGCGTGGGATTGGGCGACGGACTCGGTTGCGCTCACAATCTTCTGCCATGGGGTTGCGAAGATGCTGCCCCCGTGTTAGCTCAGCTCGTGCGCTGCGAGGCGAATGGGGCGGGAAGATACCCCAGATCCGACGACTCATCGGGCGGATGTCTGTTTGCGAGCTTCCGCAGACCTTGGACATATTGTTCTTCGACGCGACGACGTTCCTGCGCATTGGTGAGCACCCATGACGATGCGCGGCACCGGGGGCCGACCCACCTGTAGCCAGTCGGCAATGTGGTTGTTGAGCTGGCCGACATGTCTCATGCGACTGTCGAGGACGGTGACGGCTTGGGCGGGCGAAAGCGATGTCTAGACATGGTGTGAGCCGAAGCTGGGGGAGGGCATACAGACAGCTCTCACCAGCAATGCCGGGTATTCTTTGCGTTGGAGCTCCATGGCGACGAATGCGGGGGACAGGCGCACAGCCACAGGGTAGCAATTCGGGATATTTACATAGAGAGGAAGCTCGGCGAGCTTGTCGGGTGTCGTGGAGCTGTCACAACTGCGCTGTCAGTCATGGCTTGGGGCTCGTCGCTTTTGGCCTAGTCCAAGACACGCGGTTGTGCCCGGCATCTGACGTAACCTTGGTAACGACTAACCCTCGAGATGCCTCCCTGGACCCAGTCGCCAGTCGCCAGCTGCTTCCCACATGGACTCGAGACGCGCCAGAGCCTGTCTAGCCATTGCATGACTATGCGACTTGCTGAGCACGGCCAGCCCGTCCTTGGGCACCGACCGCGTCGGCTTGGGTAGTGTCGCGTCGCTGATTCGGGGCGACTCTTCTTCTTTTCCTGCCTTGACAACACCGCTGCTTGACTGCTACCCTGATACCTGTCCGACAACACCCATTGCGCCCCATGGCTTCCTCGGACTGGCGAGCGAGCCTGGGCTTCACTGCTCGCCTGATGGCTGTCACGAAAATGCAAGTAACATGTTTATACTGTCGCGCTAGGGAGCCCGGTACATGTTAGCACGGAACAGGGCCCGACCTTTTGCATGGCATATTTGCTTGATCGCAATTCACCCCTGGCGTGCAAAAGACACATCGGCCCAATCAGTGCGCGTCCAACGTCATATTCCAGGACTGACAACATTGCAGGACATCAGCCTACCAGACAGCGGACCCATCACTGTCTGCAGACGATGCTCGTAAAAATGCTACTGTAGCTGAGACGACCATCTACGCAAACGCTACATCTCTGGTACAGACCGCCTCTTGAATTTGGTGAATTTGTTTTGACCATGTTGCAGGACGACTACGACAGACTTTGCAATGAGAAGATAACAACCCTTCCCAGACCGTCGCTCGACTTCCCAACACCAGAGGTCAGGACTTGCACTACAAGTGTATGCAAGTTTGCTAACCTAAACTCCAGGATGAAGATTATGTCCCGACACCTGGTGGGAAGCCCATTGGCAACTACCAAAATGCACTCTACCATCGTGAGGGACTCTTCTCTGTCATTTACAAGGCACCTGCGCTGGGTGGTGAAAGCTACTTTCCAGCAGAGTCGCCTTCGAAGACCAAAGTCGTAGCGTTAAAGATTACTACACCATCAGTAATGGAGCCTCCGCACGACTCACAGCGAGAGGCCAAGATATTAGCCATGGCAGCGTCGGAGCGAGTCATTCCACTGATAGAAACCTTTCGTGAGAACGGAAGCCACTTCGTTCTGGTCTTCCCGTTCGTGCGCTACGACTTCAGCGACCTACTGCGGGACAAGAAGCTTTCCAAGAGCCAGATCAAGTCGTGCTTGAAGGACCTCTTCGTTGGTCTCGCCGATGTCCATAGCAAAGGGATTATACATCGCGATGTCAAGCCTTCCAACATACTCCTCAAGTCTCTCGATGGGCCAGCATACCTTTCTGACTTTGGTATCGCATGGGCGCCTGAAGTGCCAGGGTCAGAATCCGCGGATGCGAAGATTACCGATGTTGGCACTACCTGCTACCGACCCCCAGAGCTACTCTTTGGGAACCAAAAGTATGGCTGTAGCTTGGACCTGTGGGCTGCTGGTTGTACAGTCGCTGAAGCTCTTGACCCCAGCCACGAGACGCTGTTCGACTCCGGAGAACTAGGAAGCGATTTGGCCTTGATACAGAGCGTGTTCAAGAAGCTCGGAACCCCGAACCTAGATGTCTGGCCGGTGAGTCGATCTATCTTGTCTGATTCTGAACTCTGCTAACTGAAGTAGGAGGCTGCAAGTTTCCGTGACTGGGGCAAGGTGCAATTCTACGAATACCCAACACAGGACTGGTCGGTCTTGCTGCCAAACCTTTCCGGCGTAGAGCGAGATGTCGTCGCCAGCCTAGTCAAATATGAGAGTGGCTCGAGAATGAGTGCATCCGAGGTGAGTTGGTGCGCCCAATGCGGAGACATAGCTGACTGTGTATGACAGGTGCTCAAGCATGCCTACTTTTCGTCTGCAGAATAGGTTTCTGAGTTTATGTTGGGGATAATTCGCGTCAGGACACAACTTGAGGCGCGGGGCGATTCCGCACGCACCGAATAGCCTGACACATGCATAACTTAATTTGTAAATATTAGTGAAATAGTGATATAACCATTTTTGCCAGTGATGCACTGGCCGAGTAATTGCAATCTAGAGTAATCAGCTGTGGGCGAGTGGACGTACACAAAGTGCGCTAGCGACGCAGGGTTGATCCTCGGCCGTTCACAAGCAACAGCATCACCACGGCAAAGTAGACGTAGAGCAACAACCGCACTGTCCCCCTGTATACCCAATACCGCCCAACGACTTCCAGACATATTCCCCTGCAGTCGCCTGTATGTTGTCGCCGTCAAGATAGCAGCTTTCCGGCCCTGGCCTCAAGTCACAGCCCCTCATAGCACCGCCGCTGTCCCACATCGATCCCCGCCCTGGAAAACTTCCCAACCCACTCAACATGGCATTCCTATTCCGAAACAAGCAGAAGAACAACCTGGAGCTTACCCGCTCTATCAAAGAGCTTACGCTGCGGCTCGGGCAAGAAGACAGGCCCAACCCCAAGGTGCGACCAGACGACTGCTATGGGGCGCCTTGGGCAACATGGCTGACATGTGATAGCTAGAGGAAGGACTTGCTCTGGACCTGCAACAGATGAAAGTTAGACTTCAGGGCACACCCGGTAGGTTTGCTGTCCTTTCACCACGCACCTGCAGGGCTAGCTGCTGACGGCGCCAAAGACACAGAAGTCAACCCGGAGGCTGTCTTCCAGCTTCTTACAAACATCCTCAACGAGGACCTCCTCTATGCGCTAGCAATCAACATTCATAAGCTCCCGTTCGAGTCGCGAAAAGACGCCCAAGTCATCTTCTCCACTGCTTTCCGCTACAAGCCCGCAGGACAAGCTACACCGCAGGTATTGGAACACGTCGTCGCATACCGACCGGATATTATAATAGCGCTATGTCGAGGCTACGACAGGCGAGAAAGCGCCATGCCATGTGGTGGCATCCTTCGTGAAGCGCTCAAGTACGATGCCATCGCTGCGCTGCTGCTCTATGACGAGCCAATGGAAGACGGAAAGACGCTTGACTTGGGCAACGTGAACCCTGATCTGCCGTCTTCTGGCAACGGTGTCTTCTGGAAGTTCTTTGACTGGATAGACAAGGGCGCGTTTGAAGTCAGTGCCGATGCATTTAACACATTCAGGGTAGGTTGACTGGCTGGAACATGTGAACGGACACGCTGACACACGACAGGAAATCCTGACAAAGCACAAGCCTTTAGTCGCTACATTCCTACAAACCAACTTTGACACCTTCTTCACCAAGTACAACTCGATGCTTATCCAGTCTGAGAGCTATGTGACGAAGCGCCAGTCTATCAAACTGCTGGGCGAGATCTTGCTCGACCGAGCAAACTACAATGTTATGACGCAATATGTGGACTCGGGGGAGCATCTCAAGATCATCATGAAGCTACTGCGAGACGACAGGAAGATGATCAACTACGAGGGTTTCCATGTCTTCAAGGTGAGTGTTGACGGGCGTGGTTGTGCGCGTGTGTGTGTATTGACAAACGCAGGTGTTCGTTGCCAACCCGAATAAATCGGTCGCAGTACAACGGATCCTGATTAGCAACCGGGACAAGCTGTTACGGTTCTTGCCGTCATTCTTGGACGACCGCACAGAAGACGAGCAGTTCATCGACGAGAAGAGCTTCTTGATCCGACAGATCGAGCAGCTTCCGCCAGCTCCGGTCGTGCCACCGACAGCGCAATAGCCAGTGTTGGAAGCGAGTATGATGTCTATCTGTTAGGTTTTGCATATCATGGCGTTTGAGGTTTGATATCCTTGGAGTTGTTCACAAGACGGGCGCAGCATCATCGGCGCATTTTAAATGGATGGATGTTGTGAATGCAGGGTAGGCTTGCAGATGCAGGGCCCGCAGTACGTTGTGCGCGGACAGCGGATCATGGTCGGCCTGCTTTTCCAAAAGTATGTTTGCGCATGTCAACCCCTTGGAGCCCCAAAAATAGTTGTTCAAGGAATGGTGAAGGTGTGCGAGCAATCCGACAGCAGGCCACATGCAGCATTACATACTATGATAGATACCAAGTGCTCGCGTGCTGTAGCCGGCATCTCGGATCCGCAAAGACATCTAGACTCCATATTTCATCACGCGGTGGATCTCCCGCGGCGAGCTTCCCCGCTTAATCGCTAACTATGACACGTGGTGGTGATTGGCTGCTATGTTGGCCGTCTGTCTGAGCCCGCGGCCAAGCCGGTGTCGCAGGTAGCAGGGCCGTAACAATCAAAACGTCGTACCTGCGGCAGACGGCTTACATTGTCGCGTTTGGAGAATTGTACCTGCATCGTTTCTGTCGCGTTGAAGCATCCCTTGACGCATCCTCCCGCTAAGCCCCTGATGCTAGCCCGTCGCTAGTTTAGGTAGGAAACCGGCTCTTCCTCCTTCTCGGCTTGGCGGCCAGACTAAAGCGAATCAGGTGCACGCCATCGAGCAGCATGACTTCAGAGGGGGCCCGGATAACTCGCTGGCTGCAGTTGCAGGACACCGCTACACACCAAGGGCCGCTGCTTAGTCCGGGGAATGAATTTCCTCTGAGAACCTTACCGTCTCTTCCCTCCGCCAGCTCCATCTCCGACCTGGATTCGGATGACGGCCCCCGAGTCTCGCAACCACGCACCAACATCGCGAAACTCATCCATCCGCCCACCCCTACCATGACGGATGAGCAGACGGCGGCTCGAAGACGTTCCTCCTCGCTCGCCGGCGCAACCCTGCCCACTAAAACAGACCTGAAGAAGCACCGCCGGCACCGTTCCGACCACATTGCTGAAGAAGGAGAAGAATCCTCGTCCGGTGCGGACCGTTCCGATTCAGACTCTGACAGCGACGACTCCGACCTCGACGACATGAGCGCAGACGGGCTCGAAGACGATGAGGAGACGGGCCTTACCAAGAGAGACAGGCGGAGACGCCGGAGAAGAAAGAGGAGGAACACGTTGCTCGACCAGCGCATCGTCCCCGACGATACGTACACAAAGGAGGAGAAGAAGCTCGCCGACCAGAACTTGCTCAAGTCCATGCTGGTCAACGGAGCCCTGATAGGCCTATGGTAGGACACAACCCCCCGTGTTGTCTCAGCTCAACTAATGTGTCTAGGTACCTCTTCTCCATTTCGATATCTGTCTACAACAAATGGATGTTCAAGGAAGCCAAGGGCGACGGCGAGACCAAGAACATCTTTCCATTTCCGCTCTTCACAACATGCCTGCATATGATCGTCCAATTCACGCTTGCGTCGCTCGTTCTATTCCTAATACCCTCCTTTCGACCTCGACACGATTCCCTTAACCCTCACGCTGCCGGCGCGCGTATGGAGCCCTTGGACCCAAACAAGCCGCTTATGACCAAATGGTTCTACTTCAGTAGACTCGGCCCGTGCGGTGCGGCCACTGGCATGGACATTGGCCTGGGCAATACGAGCTTGAAGTTCATCTCGTTGACATTTTTCAGTAAGGGATGAAATCTCGTTTCTCAGAACGCGGCTAACAACAACAGCCATGTGCAAATCATCTGCACTCGGCTTCGTGCTCATCTTCGCATTCCTCTTTCGCCTCGAACAGCCGTCCTGGCGACTTGTATTCATCATCCTTATCATGACCACTGGTGTCGTCATGATGGTAGCCGGCGAGGCTGCCTTTCACACACTCGGCTTCATTCTCGTCATGGTCTCAGCCTGCTCATCCGGCTTCCGCTGGTCCTTGACCCAAATTCTGCTCCTCCGCAACCCCGCGACCGCGAACCCATTTTCCTCCATCTTTTTCCTCGCACCCGTCATGTTCATCAGCATACTTATTCTCGCGATACCCGTGGAAGGCTTCTCCGCGCTCATGGAGGGTCTTTCACACCTATTCGAAACTAAAGGCACTGGCCTCGGCATTGGCATTCTTTTGTTCCCGGGAGTCCTGGCCTTCCTCATGACCTCGTCCGAGTTCGCTCTACTGAAGCGCACTTCGGTCGTCACTCTTAGCATTTGCGGCATTTTCAAGGAAGTTGTTACCATTGGAACCGCAAACCTCGTTTTCAAGGATCCCCTGACGCCTATCAACCTGACTGGGCTTGTTGTCACGATCGGCAGCATCGCGGCATACAATTACATGAAGATCAAGAAGATGAGAGAGGAAGCTCGCATGAATGCGCATCTCCAGAACCAAGAGGTGTATGCGCCTGTCAATACCGTGGATCCCTTGGAGCGCGACAGAAGAGGCAGTGTCGTTGTGCGACCAGGACAAGGCATTGTACGCAACAGTCTCCAGCTTGCGCCCGGACTAAGTGGGGGACCAGTAACGGAAGCTCCAGCGAGAGCAAGCCCGATAAAAACCGCTCGGGATACTGAGTAGCATGCAAGTGTGCAGCGATTGTTTTGATTCTAGCGTGTGCATTGGGTATTTTATCGCATTTTGTAGCATCATGGGCGTTTGGAACATGTGGGTAGTGAAAGGCGAGCGTTCAACTGCCGCCGTGGGATTACTATACCCTTTCCCTGAGACTACATCTGAACCACATTCGCTATGTATTATCAATAACTATTTTACATGTTTGACAAGCTGTTAATCTGGTTGACGATGAACGTGAACGAGTTTATACGGTATTACGTGTGGTAGTGCATGTGGTAGCTCAGTGCAAAGACCAATCAACCACACTGGAGACACTTCGGTGATCGCCATGAGCCGCGGAATTGCAGTCTAGGCATAACCCTTGGCCGCAGTTACCTCATCAGGGTCATGCACGTCGTGAACACCTGCCACTCCCACCCACGCATGCACATGCACATCTCCTTCACTCCTCCTCCTGCCGTTTGCTCACGGCATTCTGTTTCGGGCAAACGTCCGACTTATAAGCGTGCGGCGCTTCCAGGGCTTGTTTCGCACAACGCAGGTTTCAGAAGCCCCGAAAGCCCGGCAGTAAGCCTCATCGTGGCTTAAGTAGTACTGCCTGCCGGCGTGCACCACTCTACCGCCGTTTTCCTACCTCCCGAGAAACGCGCAGTACTCCCTTCGCTTTCTCCCTTCGACAGCGACCTCACGTCGCTCTACTACCGCCATGCGGCCTCTTACTACCCTCCTGGCGCTCCCTTTGGCGCTATTGCCTTCGCTCGCCTTTGCGCAGGATCTCGAAGTCCAAGTCACAAAACCGGCCGAATGTACGCGCAAGACTCAGAAGGGCGACACCGTGTCGATGATGTACAAGGGCACGCTGCAAAGCGACGGCAGCAAGTTCGACTCGAGTTATGACCGAGGAACACCCTTCAGCTTCACGATTGGCAAGGGCCAGGTCATCAAAGGCTGGGACCAGGGATTGTTGGACATGTGTATAGGAGAAGGAAGGAAGTTGACCATCCCGCCCAACCTGGCATATGGCAATCGGGCTATGGGCACCAAGATTCCTGCGGGATCTACACTGAGTACGTGTGGTCAGTTACAGCCATCTGGCCCTGTCTAACCGTGTATGCAGTTTTTGAGACAGAACTTATGGGCATTGATGGTGTCAAGGCCGAACCGCCGAAGCCTGTTGAACCTACGCCCCCAGCTCCTGAGAAGTCAACCGCTGCCGTTACAGATGACAATATCAACTCCAACGATGAAGAAGCGGCGCCCGAAAACGTACCGAGCCCTACCTCCACACCGTCATCCGAAGCCGCTCCCGTGGAGGCGAAGCCTGAGAAGACCGCAGCACCTGCTGCTGAGCCTAGCAAAATCGCCGAAGCGCAAGAAAACCCCATGGATGGCGAGAGCGGCAAGGGCGAGTGCAATCTCCTTGGCAACTTCGCCTTGCTTGTGCAGGGTGCTCTCGGACTTCTCGCAGTGTCCTCTCTCGCCGTCAAGAGGCTGAGAGAGTCCCCGCGACGACCTATGAAGATTTGGTTTTTCGATGTCTCGAAGCAGGTCTTTGGTTCAGTTCTGTTGCACCTTGCAAATGTCCTGATGTCCATGTTGTCTTCTGGCAAATTCGACGTAGCAGCGACCACAAGCGCAACCACCAAGTATGCGGGAACGAACGAAGAGGGTGATCAGCCGAACCCATGCTCGTTTTATCTCCTCAATCTGGCCATCGACGTAAGTAGATTCCTACTGACCCCTGTGTTTCGCGACTAACAAGCCTCAGACTACGATCGGCATACCCATTCTCGTGCTGCTCCTCAAAATCCTCCACGCCGCATTCGCGAAGACGCCCCTTGCCAACCCCCCAGAGTCCATCCGCAGCGGCAACTACGGCCAGCCACCACGCGCAACCTGGTGGCTTAAGCAGTCCATAATCTACTTCCTCGGTCTTATCGGCATGAAACTCTGTGTCCTCGCCATTTTCGCTTTCTTGCCTTGGATCGCATGGGTAGGAGACTGGGCACTTCGCTGGACAGAAGGAAACACGGCGCTACAGATCACTTTCGTCATGTTTATTTTCCCCTTGATTATGAACGCGTTACAGTACTGGATCATCGATAGCTTTATCAAGGATCCTGAGCATGGCAGCGGCAGTGGCACTGAGGGCAGGTATGGCGTTATTGGAGATGAGGATAGTGAGGATGAGGATGATGAGGAATGGTTGGAGAGACAGAGGCGGAGGCGTGAGGCGGGCATCGATGGCGAGGATAGTGATGTTGAGGCTGCTGAGGGTGATCCGTTGAAGGAGGCCAACCCTACTGTAGTCCCTGCAAGGAGTCGTAGTCTGAAGACTGGCGGCGACTACGATCCTGCGACTGACGGAGCAAGTGGCAGCCTCAAGACTAGGATGGAGTAGATTGATAGTGTGTTTTGATTGTTGTATTCGCATCTTCATTAGGACATGTTTGTTGTCGACGTCTCACGGCGACTCTGGGATATAGATATAGACATGCATTATATGTGCAGGGAAACATATTGGTATTTTGAGCAAGCATAAGGACTAGTGTGGTAAATCAGCTAGAGTCTCTACAACATGGGCTTGATCTCCGCTGCTTCCTTGAAGTCTGCACCAGTCTTCGACCGCACTTCGTCTACGGTAACACCATCCGCAAGCTCAACCAGGGTCAAGCCCTCGGTAAAGTCGACGTCGAACACACACTACCCAACGTCAGTCTCCAGTACCAGCGTTTGAATCGAAAAGAGGTTACTTACCAAATCCGTGATAATCCGGCTTACACATGCCTTGCCCGTAAGCGGAAACTCGCACTGCTTAAGAATCTTCGGCCTTCCCTTCTTGTCCGTATGTTCCATGGTAACAACAACCTTGGTGGCCTGCGGATTCGATACTAAATCCATAGCACCACCAAAGCCCTTGACCTTACCCGGCAACATCCAATTCGCCAGGTCGCCTCTTGCAGAAACTTGCATAGCGCCGAGGATTGTCAGGTTAATTTTACCAGCACGAATCATGCCGAAACTCTCTTCTGAGCCGAAGCATGATGCGCCAGGGAGAAGTGTGACAGTTTCTTTGCCCGCGTTGATGAGATCAGGATCTTCAAGTCCCTTCTGTGGATAGGGACCGAGACCCAGGATGCCGTTTTCGGATTGAAGTTGGACTTCGACAGAGGGGTCAACGAAGGAAGGAGCGAGCATAGGCATGCCGATTCCGAGGTTGGCGTACATGCCGTTCTTGAATTCCTTGGCTGCACGACGGACGATGCGTTCGCGTTTCGAGGCTGCGTCGCCAGCGCCCAAGGCAGAAACCGCTTCCTGAGGGTCCTTTGCGTTGACGACTTTTTCAATCTTCTTTTCGGCCGTCGATTGGATCACGCGGTCGACATAGATGCCTGGGACATGGACGGCGTTTGGTGGAATATCACCGACTTCGACAATGTGCTCAGCTTCTACGATTGTTACTTTGGCGTTGCGAGCCATGGCACCATTGAAGTTCTGGGCTGAGAAGCGGAACTGGACGTTTCCCAGGCGGTCGGCTTTGTATGCTTTGATAAAGGCGTAGTCGCCCTTGATACTCTCCTCCATTACATAGCTCTTGCCAGCGAAGACTTTGACGTCGCGAGGTGTGGAATATTGTGCTACGCTGCCGTCATTGTTATGCTTGAGTGCTAGTTCGCCGGTCTGCACAACGGTGCCGAAAGCAGCGGGTGTGTAGAAAGCTGGAATGCCGGCGCCACCGGCTCTACACCTCTCTGCTAGTGTGCCTTGGGGTGTGAGTTCCAGCTCCAACTCGCCAGTCAGATACATCTGTTCGAGGACCTTGTTCTCGCCCACGTAGCTTGCAATCATCTTCTTGACTTGTTTGCTTTCCAGCAACAAACCTAGACCTCCCCCAACCACGCCAGCATTGTTGGATACAGCGGTTAGGCCTGTGATTTTTGGTGTGCTTTTTACTTGGTGAATGAGTGTGTCTGGAACACCTGAAAGACCGAAGCCTCCGCACAAAAGCGTACTGTCGGATGACATGTCTTCGATGGCCGCAGCGGCACTTGGGTAGACCTTGTTGATCTCATTGCGGCGGAGAGACGACGAGAAGGAGCGCGAGAGGTTGAGGTACGTCTGCCAGAGTCAGTTGTTGCTTAGCATGGGTTCAATGATATTTGTGTACTTTTGTTGTGCTTCGCGAAAAGGTGCGCGCCGTGCGAAGGGTAAGGGATATCGACGGCATTCTGGGCAGAGCTTGGTACAGGTAAACAAATTTCCAGAATATTATGTTCAGCCCTCAATCTACAGACTGGAAAGATATGTACAAGTGGCCGTGGAGAGGGATGCTGCGCCCCCGAAATCTATAGACCCAAGCATCGTCGCAGCCTCGGGAATCTTTAGTATGGGTTGCGTCGGCCTCTCCAAGCGGGAGGGCGGAACGGCGCCGACGCGGAATGTGGAGGAAAGTCGAGGGCTTGGAAAGCGGAGAGGTAAGATACCAGATGCTGATTGGGTGGGTGTGGGCTGACTCAGGCATACCACGGAGTTGTTTTCCAGCCCGGAACGTCTGATATTCATCAGGAACCTTGTGGGCTCACGATTCTTCTTCACTACATGCCCAACCCTGCCACGTAAAGTTCACGTTGTTGATCGCACCATTATGCCCTGTATGAACCACCACCGAAGTGTCGTCCATTACTCTCACACAACGGCCTCTCTTATCTGCCCACGGCCAATCAGCGAGACAGTAGAGACATCTCACTTTCTTGATAAGAGACTGAGGAGGCTTAACAAGAGGTGCAGATGTACAAAGCTGTACTGGACGGCTGTGTTTTTGCCAACGTCACGACTGTGCGCAGTTCAAATGCGTTGTGAGACAGTAACCTCTCCGGCGTTGTCCATGAACTGATAGTATTCATGATCCGAATCTTTATGCCTTGGCAAATTTTCAATCTGGCAAATATATCCAAAGGGTTACGGTAGTGGCATGCAAGATGCGATGCCGGCTTCATTGTGGTGCTAATTGTAAGACCTTGAATGACGCAAATGCTTCCTAGGTGCGCATCGCTCGTCTTTGCCGCACCATTCATAATCTTATCGGAGCCGACCAGATGCCAAAGCAATCTCGCTATGCTTCGAATCATCGCATTTGTCCAATGCAGCTGGTAGCACAGCCTTCTGTTCGGCACCTCCGAATCCCAACTGGCCTAAGGCCCCATGTACTCCCGCAAGTAAGCCGCCTAGCCGCGGCTAGACCCAATGCAGTAGCAATCATGGCCAAGACTGGCACGTCGTTCAGCTACGCCTATCACTATCGGTCGATCACCACCCAGGTACCGTTATGATGGAGTGTAAGCTTAAGCCCTCTGTAGTAATAAAGCTACAGAAATGCTCGCTTGTATGAGGCGTTCAGATCCGCCACAACCACCACCTTGAATCATACCCTCCGGTTGAACCTAAGCAGTCCTATTCGATGTCGAAAGTGACCATGGCCCAGAAAGGAGAAAATAAAGCAACGCGTCAATGCTGGGATTGTCTCAAACGGCGTCTAGTATGCGACAACACGCTCCCACATTGTATGAAGTGTCAGAAAGCCGGTCGTCAATGCTCTGGTTATGATGACGCAAAGCCGCTTCAGTGGATCCAGCCAGGCAAGGTAACTTCTAGGCGGAGGAGGAAGAAAGATGGTAGCTCGCCGAAAACCTACACCATTGAACCCACAGCCAATAGTGAGACGAGAACGTGTCAGGATGTTAACGTACCTGAACAAACGAGCTGTAAGCCGATGCATGAAGAAGACTACATTTGTGAGCCTGTAGATTATGAAGCAGCCCTGTCGTCTTGGGAGAATGATCGGGTCTCCCACCCTGGAGATCGGATCACGGACCTCCATGCGTTATCTTTCAAGATGACAGCAAGTGCCAGAGAAGCGGGCAGGATATTTCAGATCGGTGGAAGGGCTAAGATCGAAGAGATTGTCGAAAGTGGTTCACATGAGGAGGCTGCAAAGTTGTTGCGCTCAGACCGTAATCCACTTCAACGGCTCAAACGTCTACTCGAGGTTTTACAACTGCAGGACGTACCAACATATAGGGATCTTACGGATGAAACCTCGGAAGTGGTGCAAGCTGTTCAATACTGTGAGTAATTCCTGACTTGACATTAGAGGTGCATCTAGGACTAGTCGCTGATGCTACCAGACAACCTGCGCATACATACAGCATACAAGGCAGCTGGAGAGTTAGCACCTAATCCTGCACTTGTGCCTTTCCCTCAACAGGCCTTGCATCTGCTCACCCCGGCAATCCACCATACGCTAGTCTGCCTGTCCCTCAATCATTTTATCCATACTTCACCGTTGGGAATCGACCGTGCAGTGCTAGCTCCCAATCGGTGGAAGGTATATCACCACCGTGGAGCAGCTTTGCGGGCATTAGGACAGCACATTGGCCAAGACAAGACAAGATGTTCGGATATGACAATCACTACCATTCTCATGTTCATGTGCTTGGAGGTATGTTGAGCCCGTGCTAATCGATAGGCTTCGAATCAAGTACTGATAAGTACTTGCAGCTCCAGAATCCTTCTTTTGCAGACTGGCGTTCACATGTGAATGGCATGAAGCGAATAGTCGACCTAAGAGGTGGGCCGAAGAAGCTCATGAAGGAAGCGCCACACTTGGTACCATCGTTGGTACTTTACCTACTGTACGTTGCTTTGTGATGTCAATTGCGGTCAGGGTCTAACTTGAATGAACAGTATTGTGTCCGTGGCCAACACGTGCAGTCCGTCGTGGGACCAAGTTGAGATCAACAGCACTGCAGATGATGTGACCGAGGACATCACCAGTATCTACAGTCTCATCTTTCCATACACGCTCTGTCCACCCGAGCTGTTCACCGAGATGCTGCATATAAACCGACTGCGCGCCAAAGCATCTGCGGCAGTCTTGCAGTGTGATTTTGATGTAGACCACACATTGAAGGCTTATGATCTGCTTGCTCGCATCGAGGCCTTCTCGGTTGAAGATTGGGCACAACCCGGCACCTTTTACAATGAATGGTTGATTGTTGGCACAGTGTACAAGTCCGCCCTCGCACTGTACGCCATCTTATCCTTGGGCTCGCTCACTGTCCTCCCAGCAGATGCTTCACTGCTTGACATGCAAACAGTTCACGGCGATATCCTACTCCGCAATCTGCGCACAGCACTCAAGGATCCGCGTATAGCTAGATTCATGGCATGGCCGCTGGTGGTGGTGGGTGTAGAAGCTATATACCGTGGAGAGGCAACGAGGGACTGGATCGGAGCAAGTTTGGAGGAGTTGAGCAGGACGCTAGGTACGAGTGGTCCGATCAAGGCGTGTTCGGTATTGAGGAGGTATTGGAAGGGCGGGGTTTCAGGGTGGGATGAGTGTTTCGATCGGCCGTATGTGTTTGTCATCTAGAAAGCGAGCTAGTCAAGGCAGTGTAGCGTCTTTGGTCTCATGGTAGCAAAAACTTTGTGTTGTATCGCTAGTGTGCGTAATGTACAGGCTTGCTATACAGAGGGGGAATGGAGGCCCCGTGACTCACACCCAAACGCCGATATATGCTGTTGTCGCGACAGAGAGCCAGCACTACCGCTCCAGACCCTTGTTGTCTGGATCCTCATCGCCCTTGGTCTCCTTGACATCTTTATACGGGCGGCCGGCGTAGAGCATGTACCCCTTCTCCTCAATGGTGCCCGTCTTCTCGTCTGCCTCGGCTCGTCCCTGGCCAAATGCGCCTGTCTCGAGTTGTCCCTGGACGGCGATGGGTCGGTTGCCGCGGAACCGCTTGCGCATGTCAATCATGCCTTTTTTACATTCGGCGTACCCCTTCTGCAGCTGCTGGCACTGGGTGGGGAGCGTGTATTTGAGGGGTGGACGCAGACATTCGCCTGGCGTGTGCCGGTCGACCATTATGCAGTCGCTATTTTGGAGGCAGAATGCCAGCGCAGCGCCTAGCCACTACGGTTAGCCGAGGCAGTCGAGGGATGGTGAAACAGGCCATACGGATGTCTTTACATGATTGCGGCATGTTGGCTGGGTGGTCGTGTGTGGCTACCAGCGCATTCAACAATGCATGTGTGGAGTGACTTGGTGGAGCAAAAGGCCATCGGCGGAAACGTCGCGCTAAGCTCCGGGGCTCAATGCGTTGTCACATGTCAGGGATGGACAGACGGACGGATGCTTTCGTCTGGAACGTCATTTGGACATTGGCTACTGGATCCTGCTACCCGCCCTGGAGCCTTTCCTCACCGTAGTTCAGGAGGGGCTCAAGCTTCGACTTTCCAGAGGCCCGCGCTCCAGAGGGGCTATGCGTTGTCCTGCAAGTCTTTCGTCGACGCTTTAATTGCTCGTGTGCCCTCAAGTCTCGACACGCCCGCGGGCACCATGGCGCTCCATATACCCTTCCTGTCGCGCCTGCACATCCGCGAGTACGTCGCCCTGTCGGTTTCCGTGTGTCTCATCATCCTCGAATCCATCATCGCCGTCATCACCCTCGCCCTGCCCACGCCCATCATCAACTTTTGCTACCGCCTGACCCGCCGCCTGTTCAACCACCTCTCCTCGCCCTCGTCCAAGCGCTCGCGCCAGAAGAAGAAGGGCGTGTGGAGCTCCATCGCCAACGCATCCGATTTTACCGAGCTATGCGACCTCTACGGCTACTACTGCGAGGAACACATTGTACAGACCGGTGATGGCTATCTCCTGGGTCTGCACCGCCTGGGCTGGCGACAGGGCGAAGAAAACATGCGCGTCAACAGCGGAGACAAGGCAAAAGGCCTCAAGAAGAAGGTTGTCTACCTCCACCACGGCCTGATGATGAACAGCGAGGTCTGGGTTTGCTTGACCGATAAGCAGCGATGCTTGCCGTTTGAGCTGGTGGAGCGAGGATACGACGTCTGGCTCGGCAACAACCGCGGAAACAAGTACTCCAAGAAGAGCGTCCATACTCCCCCTACTTCGAGCAGCTTCTGGAACTTCAGCATGGACCAATTCGCCTTCCACGACATTCCCGACTCCATTGCCTACATTCTCGAGACTACGCATCAGCCGTCGCTATCGTACATTGGCTTTTCCCAAGGTACTGCCCAGGCCTTTGCAACGTTATCTATCCATCCTACGCTCAACGAGAAGGTAGATGTTTTCATTGCGCTAGCCCCAGCCATGTCGCCCAAGGGCGTTGCGTCAGGCATTGTCGACGCTTTCGTGAAAGCTTCTCCGGACATTCTGTACTTGGCCTTTGGGCGCAAGACCATTCTCCCGTCGGCGACCATGTGGCAATCTATCCTATATCCACCCATCTTCGTTCGCTTCATTGACACATCCCTGCGCTTCCTGTTCAACTGGTCCGCTGTCAACATTCTGCCCGAGCAAAAGCTCGCAGCATACCCACATCTGTATTCATACACGTCGACCAAGAGCGTGGTACACTGGTTCCAGATCATTCGAAATGGCACATTTCAAATGTACGACGATGAAGCGCCAAACCCGATCACCTCGAATCGGTCCAAGTACTACAAAGTCGCCAAATTTCCAACCAAGAACATCAAAACGCCCATTGTGCTTGTCTACGGTGGTTCAGACAGTCTAGTCGACATTGATGTTATGCTAAAGGAGCTGCCGTCTCATACCATAGCAAAGGAAATCCCCCACTACGAGCATCTGGACTTTTTGTGGGCCGAGTCGGTCGACACTCTCGTTTTCCCACATGTCTTTGAAGCACTGGATAAATTTGCAACTTCAGAAGCGGCAGCTCTAGAGGGTCAGAAACAACGACGCTTGCGATCACCGGGCAGGTATCAAGGTCTTTTGCCAGAATCCAGTAAGCTCCCTGGGTTAGACGCCGAAGACTACGACGAAGACGATGCGGGAGACGAGAGCGCGACAGCTCCAGTAGCGCTACGGACAAGAAAGGTGTCCCAGCCCTCGCGGACGCCGAGCTCCATCGATGGTACGACATTAGCAGAAAGGCCGTTGTCGTTAGCCAGTGCCGTCTCCCCACCCAAGACAACACGACCTGCTACGCATCGGAGGACTCTTACAGAAGAGAAACCCTCGCCTGTCCGCAGTAGAATCATGTCACCACCTCCGTCACACAGAATGTCAACCATGTCTACACCAGACCCCACAAACAGGATGTCAACCATATCTACACCAGATCCTTCAAATAGGATATCGACCATATCCTTCAACTCCCCAGGTGCGTCAGTTGGCGATTCGCAAATCACGGAAAAGACCTCCACGTCTCGGCCTGAGGGATGGTGGTCCTCGGACGAAGTCGCTGGTACGGATCCGTCTCAAACTACCACACCCGCTAACCAGACCCCCGCCAGGAGGTCAAGCTTCGACAGCCAGCAGAGCACGAAGAGTATGGCGGGCAAATTCGGAGCCAATGGTATCACTCTTGGCGCGAGCAAAGCCGTCAGCGGACTCACACAAGGAGAAGGATTCAACTTCGGCGAGGGCAGTAGTAACAAGAGTCAAATCGATCGGGAAAGACTACTGGAGGCGGATAGGAAACAGCGGAGGAACGTCTTGAAGAAGAGGCATCCATCTAGTGGTTGATGTGACGAGTGACGACCATTTGTGTATTACCTGTTGTTTGCAAATTGAATGACAAGAATCTTCATGGCTACCTCATAGCGGCTTTGGAATTTGCAATTTCTCGAACAACATCTATCTCGTGTACGAAGGAGAAGGATCGAAGAACCTTTTCCAATACTCCACGGCACCATTTCAACCCCACTTCAGGCCACCTTCACAAACGTGATTGGCCACGGAATCCGGCGCCGCTGCACCTCTGCAGCGTAACGAGACCTCACTCTTACTTCACTCTTACCTAGGCTACGTGTTTGCAACAATGCTATAGATGCCAATCAATCACTTTTCGATCCTGCGAAACGCACCAAAGACCAGCAACACCCCAAGCTACATTGTAGATACCATGACATGGATATGGAACGGCGCTGTAACCATCTACCGCACTCTATCTCGCATATTGTTGCCTAAACACTTCAACGGAAAGGTGAGCAGTTGTTCCTTTAGGCTTGCGGCCTGCAATTATGACCAAAGCTCAAAAAAGATGAAAAGGACGATTACGATCCAGCATATCGGAGCTTCGTCTTCTACAGGACCTTGTCTCCTAACGAGGTAAGTCGACGTCGATGATTTGCAGTACAAGAAGGCACGCTGATTTACACGTGTAATTAAGTCGTTGTCAAGTTTTGGCAGACCGTCGATGGAGAGTGGGATGGATGAAATGGAGGATTCACAAAGACCACATGCATGAAAGAAGCTGTTTCGAGTGGAAACCAGTTCTAACTGGGTTGTCTCCGTGTATGTGTCGTGAACTAAGCTACCTCTGTTCGGACATCTAGAGTCCCTTACATAGCCGATGACAAGAGAAATGGGTTTGGGTCATCACTTCACCCAACTGCTAACTAGGCGGCTCCGAAAAATCGCCTCCTTCATGTTCTAGCTCCATGGGATCGCCCTGTTGCATCTGGTGATGCATTTGCTGCTGCATCTGTTGTTGCATGAGCTGCTGCTGCGATAGATTCATCTCGGAAGCATCCCAGTCCAGATTACTGAAAGGCGCTGAATGCCACCACAATTGTTGCATTTCAACAATAGGCACTCCTTGGTCGAAGCTTGTGAAGAATGGATTACCAAAAGCAGAAGGTGTTGGTTGTTGTGTGGGTAAAGGATATTGGAGCAGCGGATTCACGAGATGATCATGGGATAGTGGGGGTGGGTAGTTTGGCGGCATCTCTTCCGAGAAACCTGTACCGCTTGGTGTATCCCATGAAGTTGACTGTGACTGAAACGTAGAGGATGCACCGAAACGGGCCGGCCGCGCAGGCTGCGAGGTCCAATTACTATCATCGTCAGTCAACTCCTTCACCTGCTCCCGAAGAACTGGAGAGCAGCTATTCAGAATCTTGTAAACGACGTCGTGAGCACGAGCCGCAACTGGGTCGTTCGCTTTCATAGCCCGAAGCCAGCGTATCATCTTTTTGATACACGCAAGGATATCGGCTTTCTCGTCTTTCAGATGCTTGCCCTCATAGGCCATCTCGAGCAGAAGTACGGCTAAAGCTTGCATAACTAACGTGACGACAGTCAGCTTTAATGAAACAGTACTTCAACCATGGTAGACTTACTGATATGAACCACATTCCACCATGGCCCTTGGGAGTAGATAAAGCCTGTATCTGGCTGCTCGGGAAACAGCATTGCCATCTGTCGAGCTGCTTCGACACAAGTCTCGGCAGTGTCGGTGTTGAAGTTCATGGACTTCGAACTCTCCGTTGCTATCCTCCGTTCGATTCTGCATAGACAAGGTCTAGTAATAAGAACTTTCGTACTCCAATAGTAGATTCTGAGCAGGAACCGCTCACGGTTGAGATCGGATCGTTGAGTCCAAGAACTGGGACGGGCGTCCTCAGGTGGTAAAGCCGTCTGCACCCAGATTTCTAGTTCCTTGAGTAACTCCGTGATTTTCGTTTGAACGTACTGTAGGCATACTAGTCAGGAGATGGCCATAGATTCGTATGAGAAATTGTTCGCTGGCAATGGAAAAAACCATTTGGAGGGAAAGTACACGTACCTGCCAAGATTGTACCGCAGTTCGAGGTGAATACAGACTGAGAAGGACCTTTTGTTGAATGATAGTCAGGGTAATATACGTATGGAGATAGTGGCTCTTGTCTGTCTTTCGTTTGCTAGACTCGGAAGCTCTATTATTTGCCGTGGTCTGAGGCGAGCCGTAGTTGGTGCGAATGCGAGATGTTTGTCGGGTTGGCGATTCGGGGGGTTGTTGTGGCAAGGATACAGTACAATCCTCGTTCCCGATGGCTGGAGGACGGCCGGTGATAGAAGAGACGAGACATTCTATTGAGTGCAAACACCACCATGTTTTTACCAGCAGCTCCCTCCTGGAATCACTCAATGAAGTGTCCTCGTTGCGCAAGTGCAGACCGAGCGCCAAGGCAAGCCTGATAGAAAGTCCTATCATAATCCATGCTCTACTCACATGCCCAATTACAAGGAAGTAAAAGGCCAACGTTCCTGTCTGAGAGTGCATGTTAGGTAGTTCTCAGCAGATAGGACCAATGGGAACTCACAGCTTGGATTTTGTCTAGGCTGGGAGCTGCAAGAAAGGTCAGAGTGTCTTTCAAACCCAGAAGCTGGACTGCTCTTGTCATGTATATCAGATGGTCCCTCTCGTCGCCTCTCCACTCTGCGCCAACAAGGTGTGAATATTTTGCGCCAATCGCGAAGAGCAAATTCATGGTTGCACGCCATCCGTCGGGTACGAAAAACGGGTGCCCATGTTTAGAAGCTTGGATATAGCGGCGAAATTGGTCCTCGAAATTGGCAGGCATGAGTGGGAATGTACCGTGCACAGTGTCCATGTAACAAGCAAAGAACTTCTCGGCGATCTCTGGGCTTGGCATCTCCCTAGGGTCCACCGCAATGTCAATCTCGATGTCGTCGCTGTCAAGATAGAAAGTCGCGTCCGTGATATGGTGCATCGATCCTGGTCTAGCATTCTGCCTCCGTTCATGTAGAGCGTCGGATCGTTCATCGATCGCTTCAGTACTCGCACCAGGGGGGCCGTACCGTTGACCACGGGGATCTGTGTTGCCGCGTTCTGCTTGGCGCTGGACGCTCCGTAGCCATTGGACCTCAGAGTTCTGACCCATATAGCCGGTTTCTCTTGCATGCGGATCACGCATCAAATCTTCATCTAGGAAGTCAAGGTCTTCGTTGGATCCCACTGAGGCTGTCACGAAGGCCTCTCCGTGGTCACTATGATTCTCATCTTGACGTGTCGGTGAATGATCGCGCGGTCTCTTTCCCCGCATTCTTACGGACTGCAATGAACCCGACGAGACCAAATCATCCTCTACCTGCAATGGAAGTAATGTTAACGGTTACCTTGCAGGATATGATAGGAAACCAGATGGTCAAAGGGCCGCCTACATCGTGTAATGTCTGATTGATGATCTTCCTATCTTCATCATCGACGCGCCCCTTGAGGTCTTTCAGGAGATTGAGGAGATTTTTGTTCAGCCGCATGGCCCTGTAGAATTAGCATACATGTAGCCAAGTAAGGAGTCTAGTTTTACATACTCTCCTAGGCGATCTCGCCGTGCTGGATCGTACACACACGCCAGGTTATTGCGTTCGCAGTTGGCGCAACGCGGTGTATCACCAGAACACCTGACTTCTGGAGTTTTGTCAGCACCGGCAATTGAGTGCGGATGTATAAGGCTGTATACTTCGTTTACGGCACGTTTTGCATGCTCTTGCTCTAAAAGAACGGGTTAGAATATAGTGTCTTGGTGTGGGGAGTGGAGTCACTGACACTCTTTCTTCTCTGTCGGGTCTCTCCGAGTTTTCGTTACCCTGCTGCGGCGCCGTCTTTTGAATCGCGGTCTTCCTACCCTGTCCATCGCTGGACTGACCAAGTGGGATTTGCTGCATAGCACAGGCTGACGACGATTGGAGACCAGTAGAGGACCCGTACTGCCAATGCAGATGCAGCTCGCGCATAAATCCGCTTCCAAAGAAGCGAACAAGTCACGTGTTGAGTTCCGGGCAAGGTCTCCGTAGACCTCGTACGGTAATAGAGGTATGAGGGGAAACAGGTCTCCAGGACGGTATGGCGCGCGAAGGGACCCGGTGACACACAGTAGTTGAAGAAGCACAGCGCTGAGTGGCTCTGGCGGACGATTCAGACAAGAAGTAGTCCACTTCTGTAAACGCGAACGTGTGGTTGTGAAGGTGCCGCTACTGGGGGATAAGACTTACACCTTTCAGAAGACTGATAGGCGGATACCCATCCGCGAATCAAAGTCTGCAATGTCAGTCCACGATCAGAAAAAGCGTCGTGTTGCGATCTTGAGGTGGGCAGATAAAGTTGGATGGATTTAGCAATGGCTCTACATACAAGCGGGTATTGCCCAGCCGGGATCGAGATTCGAGGCAGGGCAGCGAATGGCCCCGCAGAAGAGGCCTGCGAGCCGGCATGGCATCCCCAGCTGTCAGATTATCGCAACAAAAACTGTACGAAGGATCCAGAAGACACGCAGCATAAACGACCTGGAGGGAATCTGAGCAGGTCCTCGGGTCGGCGTGCTATTTGAGCGTACGTAGGTAGCCAGCGCGCTATTTCGCAGTATGCGCGATGATACACGTCATGCCCACCAGGAATACCTCGCTTCTATTCATTGCTGCAGATATGTTAGATGGAGTGCTTGTGGTCATCAGGGTATCGAATTTGGTGGCAAATACTCACAGACTTTGCGTGCTGTCAAGAGGCATTCCGTACACCTTGTAAAAAAACTTCTATACCTCCTTGGGCCAGCCTTCGGACGTCCATGTTCGTGCTACGGGGCAGGCGATGCTCTGTTTGGGTATGCGAAGTAACGCCAGATACTATTGGGTTGCGACTGATTCTCTAATCCTCGCTCGATCACGATCGTACAGAGCAGCCTATGTGTCTCGCTCCAGGGTACCTAGGTAGCTTTAGCTTAGCAATTTTAGCGACACTGTCTGATGTGCATGTGTTATAGCGCCTTGAGTTCACATTAGAATCCAGCGGCCACATAGAACGGCCGAGGTTTGCTTGCTGGCGCAAACAAGAGCTGAATGACCCGAGTTCTGCCCTGCCCAGGGGGTGTTCAAATGTGGGTCGCGTTATTCCACTTCTGGAAATTTTTGCTAGCTCACCAATCCCGGCTAGCGTAAAATGGGGCTCGGCATCAATCCGTGAACATCCTGGGTTGCTTTAAAGCATCCCACACCCATACCATGCACTCTTTTCTTCTGAATATCTCAAGATCTTCCAATGCCTTCAAGAACAAAGTCATGTGCAGTGTGTCGAAAGAAACGTATTAGGTGCGATGCGACGGTTCCGCAATGTCTAATGTGCATCCGCACCGGTCGCAAATGTCCTGGACTTCCAGATGGACCCTTGTTCGTAGACATGACGAACATTGCAAAGAACGGAATGCAAAAGCGCAAGCCAAAGGCACTGATCAGGAGCTCGGGACTCAATACTCAGGCTCGGATGCGTTATGATGGCCTGCCGTTGTATCGGATCTCGCAACGAACGATTGTGGCCGAGTCATTCTACGCACGCTTCCTGGCATACTTCACGTCCGATGGCGAAGGGACAGATATTAGGAATCGGCGTACTTGGTTGCATAGCCTGCCTGTCTTGACCACAGATGGCACGAATGAAGCGTTGGTATTGGCAGTACAAGCTACGGCATCTGTCTACTGTGCTGTCGAAACTGACAATCTAGCATTGACGCAATACTCTCGGAAACTATACGGCGAAGCGTTACGGACACACTATCGATTCATTTCCCGGCCACAGAACAAGTATGAAGTTACAGTACATATGGTATCTACGAGCGTCCTGTTCAGCTTCTTCGAGGCTATCCAGGCTACAGATGCCGAAGCATATCGCTCACACATCTACGGAGCTGTCCGGATGCTTGAAGTGACCAAACCAAAACAATGTTCAGGAGGGGCATTATGTCAGATCTTCTGTAAGCACTCATATACGGGTATATTTGGGGTATAGGCTAACCTCCCATCTTTTTTATGCAGACCATCTCCGGACCCAGATGGTATTCATCAATCTGACTAGGGATGGCGAAGAAACACCCTTTCAAGTACAAAGAATCTTGTACAGGTCACTAGAATACATCCGACTACCCGTGTTCCAGAGATTGCTGAGCCATGTATCCTACCTGATAGAAGAAAACGCTGCACAGAAAAGTGACGCGTCACAACACCCTATTGACCCCGAGACATATACGGAGGTCGCGACCAATATCGAAGAGCTCTGGCTTGAGTATGCAGGTGGAGCAGCGAGTAATGACACGCCGGTCTTCTGGCAAGATGTCACGACTGGAGCCATACAATTCCGCGACGAATTCACGGCTCTGACCGTCGCATACTTTAGCGCAGCTCGCATTCTTCTTTGCATCGTTATGTCACGATATACGGATTCTCTATTCACGATACCACACCAACATTCGATCATACTGCAAGCTTCACAGTATCTGCAGACCTACACAAACGGTTTTGCATACATGCGTATGGCCACGCCTCTACTACAGGTAGCACTACATTCTCCTGCATCTAGCCAGAGGGATAAAGCTACTGCTTGTTTCGAGCGCTGGATCAATAAGCCCATGTCCGGCATTAGCGCACTAGCACTAGAGAGAATACGGCGACATCTAGTACCAAAAAAACATCTGACGGCTTAGGCCGGCAGCGCTGAGTGATCTCGATTCAGAACACTCGCTGTTGTCGAACACAAGCACAGGCAGCTCCGGAAGAGCCTCCCGCGCCCTATCGAGTGGAACCCGGCTAGATCGCGAATGTCATACTTCGCGATCCCCCTAGTAAAGTCCGATCCTCGACACGAATTGCTCTTTTCGCAGCGCATGCGTCACAGGGGTCACGCTACGTCGCAGGAGCAGTGCATACAACGATGTACAGCGATGTGTCCGATCTCGAGACGAACTCTTACGGCACGAGATCCACTTACACAGATACCATAACTAAGGGAAAGAGGAATTCGCGTCCAATTAGGATAGGTCTAGGTACCGCATCTGCACACATGACCGCAAGAAGGGACACGATCAAGCCAACTCCTTGGAACTTGAATGGATAAGGCGTTGTCTCATGGAACAGCAATGCAGAGAGAGCCTGAAATATGATTCGCGCTCTTGGCAACAATCCGTATAGCATACGTGGTGGAAGGCTCTAATCTATACAGAAGGGAAGTGAAGGGGCAGGAATTGCGAAGGATGCTGACGCTGTACGAAGGAACTCGTTTCAAGTATTGGATCAGCGTTGGTGGAATAAAGAAAGGTAGGAGGTGGAAGAACAGCAAAGTAGAGACTGCATAATATAGCTACCTAATATACGAAAACGCATTTCTTACTTTCCCAGTCGCAAACATATACATGTATCATGAAGACTTGATATCAAAGAAACAAACCGAACAGCCATCTGAGACGTTGACATCTGGAAAAAGCTTCCATATTACCTATCCTCTCTCCTTCAGGCTTCGCATTTTACGGCCATGCCTATGCCTTCTGCATACCCTCGACGAACTCAAGCGCCGCTTCTCTATCAACAACATCAATGCTACTCGTCTTGTTCGTATAAGTAACGCCATAACATCGATCCGCCACATGCACCATCTCAGGTCTGAAGGTCGTACAGATAAACTGGCCTCCTCCATCCTTGTTCTTACCACCCTGACCACTCAATCGTTCCAGCATCTGCGCAACAGCAGTACGGTACTGCGCATCGAGATTGGCATCGATTTCATCAAAGAGGTAAAAGGGTGCAGGATCGCACTTTTGGATAGCAAAGATGAGGGCGAGTGCGCAGAGCGACTTTTGACCACCAGAGAGTTGGCCAATCTTTTGCTGCTCGTCGTGCTTGCTGTTGAAGGATACGGCGATGCTGACACCTGTGTACTCTTCGACTTTGCTCTTCTTGCCTTGTGTCTCTTCTTCTTCCATGTCGTCATCGTCGGATATGTCGCCTCGTGCATCGCGGTCGGATTTGCGGTTGATGATTAGGCGGCCGCGGCCGATGGGCACGAGTTGTTGGAAAACTTCGCCAAAGGCGGCGGCGACTTGTTTGAAGGTTCGGGCGATGGCTTCGTCTTTGCGTTGGTCTAACACGTCGATGAGGTTTTCAATGGATTTGCGCGATGTGTCGAGTTCGGCGCGGCGTTCTGTAAGGGTGCGTCTTTGGCGTGTGAAGTTCTCATAATGTTCGAAAGCCTTCTTGTTGACGTGCGCGAAGCTCTTGAGGGCTTGGTTGGCTTTGGTGAGTTCTTTAGTGACCTTTTTCGAAATGTTAGCTATATGCGGATTCGAAAGATCAGCATCCAGCTTACCTTGGTAGTGTCCCATCGAGTGTACTTCCGATCAACGTCTTCAGGAAGAGTACCCAAATCTCGGATATCCCGCTTGACCTCTGCCAATCGATCTGTATGACGGCTACGATCCGAGTCCTTCTTGGACATGGCCTGCTCTTGTCTCGCCATTGTCTTTGCTAGCTGTCGATTGCTAGTCTCCTTTTCGTTTCTTGCGTCCTCCAGTTCGCTCAACTGGGCTCGGATGTCTTCGATCTGAGCGTCGATCTCCTGTATCTGTTGATCAAGGTTCGCGATGGTTTGATTGACTGCATCTAGTGCTCGTTCGCATTCTCGTAACCGGGTTGACTGGCCAGTAGAGCCGCTTGCGCCGCCCTGCTGTATTTGGATATCATCCAGCGCTGGCTGCAAGTTCTCGTTGAGATCCAGCTCAGCCTCGTCTTTCCGGGTTTCTAGCGTGGCGCGCTCTTCTTTTGTTCGCGCAAATTGCCGTCTCAGGTCTTGCACAGTGCTCCGTAACGTGATCAACATCTGCTCCTCATCATTTGACAGCGCCTTCTCGAATTTGGAAGCAATTTCCGCCTCCCAGTCGCTCTGTTGCGCGCCTAGCTGGTTGATTGTTGATTGTAATGACGAAGCGGTTGTCTGTTTCCTCGCGAGGCTATCCTGGGTATCTCGCAGAATCCTCTGCTTCACGCGTACTTCTTCTCGCATGGGCGCGTAGCTGTTCTCGCCCTTGTCCTTTTCGTGTTCCCGTCTGCGAACCTCGCTTAGTGCTGCGGTAAGCTGCTGACGCTTTTGCTCGAGTTCCATAGCAATGTCCCGCTTCCGCTGCTGCAACTCGTCGTACTGAGTGCGGATTTCGGCCAGTGCTTGATAAGCCCGAATCTTTGACTTAGACATGTCGTGGTAACCACCTCGGTACTGTCCCTTCCGTGAGGCGTTATCTCCGTCGAGAGTATACGCACGGACGTTGTATTGCTTTGCGTTCTTCTTGCAGGCAGTCAGGTCAGGACAGACCACGATCTTGCCGAACACATGCCTGAACGCATCCTCGAATCTCTCGTCATACCTCAGCTTCGGTAACAGCGGCTGCATGTCGCCGGTCGCAGGAAGGTCCAAGTCATGAGTCCGAATGCGGTTGAGGGGAATAAAAGTAATACGTCCGCCCTTGTCCTTGATAAGCCTGTCGATCAGCCTCGTGGACACTTCGTCGTTATCTACAACAACATTGAAGAGTGCACCCTCAGCTGCTGCTTCAGTGACGGCCCTGTAGTCGTTGCTGACATCGAGCAGGTCTGCGATGGTGCCATGTACTCCCTCCAGTTCTCCTTCTTTTTGGTACCGACGGAGAGACTCCAGCCCCCGGCTTGTGCCATGATCAAGTAGCCGGGAGAAGGCACTTTCCGCTTTCCGAAGCTCGGCTTGTGAGTTTGTAAGTTGAGTGTTGACTCTGTTCTCTTCTCGGTAGAGACTCGTCTGCTCATCGTGTACAGCTTTGTAGGCGTCTTTCGCTTGCTCAACCTTGGCCGCAAGATTGACACTTGCGTCTCCCTCGCTCTCGATGTTTGACCTGAGTTCAGCAATCTCATTCTCAAGACGCTCGACATCGCTCTCCAACCGAGTAATCTCCTCGTTGGTCTGCATGAGGACGGCTTTGCGGCGGCTAAGGTCGGCGTTGGCAGCCTCAATCTGAGCACGCAATGCGTCATCTCGCTGTCGTTTGGTCGTGTAGAATGCTGTACGACCTTGCTTTTCCTCCAGCCGCTTCTGTTGGCCCTCAGCTTCGAGCAATTGCGATCTGACAGCTTCCTCCTCTTCCTTCTTGGCATTGTATTGAGGAAGCAGCTGCTTGAGCTCCGCCTCTCGTGCGCGTATTTGCTGTTGGAGTGACTTGATCTGCGTGTCCCGCGATTTCTTCGTTCGCTGGGTGACTGACTGGTTGTCCTGCAACGCCTTGAGCTCAAGCTCGATCTTGGCCTTTTCCAGTGTCGCCGACTTGCGTTCCTGTTCAGACTGCACACGATCCTCTCGAAGGACGTCTAGGTCACCTTTGCGTCGGTTGATGTCCATGTCGATTTGCGCAATGTCGGCCTCAGTTTGAACAAAGGCTGCCTCGTTGCTCTCTTTCATCTCACGACCCTGGTTCTCGAGGTGATCAATGTTCTCGATCAAGGCCTCCAGATCGGCTTCTTCGCGCGACTTCAGTACGTACATCAACGACCGGCGCTCCCTGTCGTTCCTGCTCCACGCCTCCAACTCCTCCTTCTCACCCTCGAGCTCATTTAGACGCCCGTTGATGGATTCAATTACAACGTCAACGCTGGAACATTTGTTCTCGGTTTCGGCTAGTAGCTTCAAACTGTTTGCGCGTCGCTCTTCGTATACATTGGAACCGGAGATTTCTTTCAGCAATTTCAAGCGCTCAGAATCCTTCATGTTGGTGAGCGCCGTAACACGACCCTGCGGGACGATATAGTATGGGTTTGACCGTGAAAAGCCAGCAGATTCAAGAATCTGCATGACCTCGGATTTGGTAGCGTTCTTGCGGTTGACCGAGTACTCGTCTTTCTTTGCGCCAATGGTCCGGCGCAAGAAGAATTCGGGCTTGCCAGTCTGGAAGCGGTCCTCTGTGTTGTCGAAGCATACTTCCACGTATGCTGACATGACGGCTGAACCAGATCCCTCGTGTAGCAGCGCCTGACGCTCTTCACGGCCCAAGTTGTGGTAATCGTCGCCCAGCACGAAGCGCACAGCGGCAAAGAAGTTACTCTTTCCAGATCCATTGCGACCAACGACGACATTGCAGTTGGGCGAGAAAGGCTCGATTTGCATTTGCTCCTTATAGCTTTTGAAGCCCTGGATCGTTATCTGCTTGATGTATCCCATCGCGGCGGTGGAGCGCGATCACGGCGCGCGAGAGATTGGATCGGGTGGAATTGGCGGTCGCGTATGGTATGTGTATGCGATCGCGATGGGAAACTTCAGGACATAGCGGGGTTGCGGTGGTGATGGTGAGCTCGTGTTTGCCCACTGTTGCACCGACGACGCGGTGCGCGTCGCGCTTTCCTGCCAAGACACGCTAACCCCAATCGTCTTCCGCGCATCAATCACTCCACGTGACGTCGTCACGAAAACCTCCAATGTTGTAGCAGACATGCCTGTGTGGCTGAGCGCTAGGCTTACACAGAAGGAGAGTGCAGATCTCGACATCTGCATTCGATCCGAATGATTGCGACGAGGAACATCATGAGCATTCTATGCTTGAGTGGTCTCACTGTCACCTTTTCATCTATCAACTCACTGAGAAGGTTTCCTGTCACTTTTACTATCTCGTCTCAGATCGAATACCTCTGCGACTCTGGGATGTTACTATCTCACCGTTGAAATAGCTCATCTTCCAAACCCAACGGCAATGTAACATCCAGGCAACATTCCATAGGCGGCCACAAGAACAAAGGCGACATGGTAATTGGAAGAGGTCTACACAGCTCTGTTGCAGATACAGCACAGGTTTCATACCCATCTTTCAAGCTACACTGCAAGACAGTCCAGGTTATGCAAGAACCATGGTCTATGGGCACGACAGAGGTCGATTCCTCCAGAAGATCCAAATAACCCACGCCATACGATGGCTTCTGCAAGCATCACACCGTAGCAAGAGTCGGCCAATAACTAGGCGCGGCGCAACGGCGTACGACGTTGAGCGGAAACTCTTGGGCCGTTGATCAAAGGCCCACTATCCAATGTCAGCTCTGGTAATGATTTTGGCAGCCCTAAAGTTAGGTACGGTACCCACAATTCCCCAGTCTGCAATTAGGGTTCAGCAGCATGGAAGTGACAGCGGGGCATGCCAGGAAAGGGTACTACGAAGTACAAAAAATGACACTTCGCAGTTTGCCCGGGCACTCAGACGCGGCGTGTCCGCCGACTGCATATTTACCCGAAGGGCAAATACGATAGACAAAGGATCAGTTTCGTAAAACTCTTTTATGTGGGGTACAGAAAAGCCTGGAAACCACAATAACGGCTTTCTACAGGCTGCGGTGAAGTGCTACGAGATATTTCCCGCATGGTCAACTGGGTAGGTAGGAAAAGGCATAAAGCGAGCGTCTTCCGAGCATGATACGTCAATTTGCAGGGTGATGAGTGAAGCGGCATCTAGATGGAACATGGAGCTAATGTACGATGATGCAAAAATGGCTTGGTTGGGGCGGGGTCTGATCGGATTTCAAAGCAAAACATGGCAATTTGCAACTTCCCCATGTCGAGTAGACGACTTTTCCATGCGCTTCGATCCATGTCTCGATTTCTGCATCGGAGGCGGCGAACCTTGTCCGGGCTTACATCTAGTGATCGACAGAATGCATGCAAGCGTATTGGAGGCAAAGTACTGCGGCCTGTTGTTGTTGTGCGCTACGGATTATCTGTTAGTTTTGGCTAACTGGCAACCCCGGTACCTGCTAGCACCTATGCGGAAGGATGAGCGCAGAAGGCGTCTGCGAATGAGAGTTGGAGTTGGGAACGCTTGATTAGCATGGTGTTTGATACAATGCTCGTTCAGCTCTCGCGAGGTTCAAGCTGAGGTGGAGCAGCAGGCAAATGCCGCGTTGATTGGCGAGGAGCGAGTTTTCATGAAGATGGCCGTGGACGGTTAATGTGGAGCCATAGCGTGACGGTTGACCGTCAACCTGTCCCGCGGAGCGAGCCGTTGGAACGTCATCGTCATTGGCCCAGTCTTGTGCTGTGGGAACGATTCGGGATAGCTGCCCGTGGCTGCGCAAACTCTCTAGCAACTTAGCAAACTACGCAGACAGGTATTCGGGGCAGAGCCATCTATGGCCGGGAATAATCCGCACCTGGGCCTGTCCGGTTTTTCGACGGCGTCGGGAGAGGACTGAAGCCAGCCATCTGGAGAACAAGCGGGACCACCAGCTTGGATGCAACATCACTACAAGCGCATATTCAAAACACAGTAAAGTCAGCACGGAGTGCAAATCGATAGATGGGAAAGCTTTGCAGGCTGCGACAAAAGGATCGAGATCCAGGCCTGCGTTTCCCATACTGGCGCAGGCTGGGCCACGATTACCCTACACATCGTCGATCTGGAAGGCACACTACGTAACTCGGCGCGCTACACACCAATCGCATGACCCCCTGTCCCTGCCCCTGCTCGTCCAAATCGCTTTCCTCAGTTCCGCATGTTGCCAAAGCCCCCATTGTTTGAATTCCCATGCCAGGCGATCTTCCCTCTGCGGTACTTTTAACCTCTCCGTCCCCATCCGCTTTGCCCAAATCTGCTCCTTCGAAACCAACGTTCACCTGCCCTTTCTCGTCCTTTTCTCCGCTCTGCAATTGCCAGTCCTCCTACTTATAACAAGGCCCCAGCCTCAGGCTGCACGACACATTCCCCCACCACACCACACCACACCACACCATCACCATCACTTCACAGCAGCAACACACACCGCCATCCACCATGACAGCAATCCAACAGTCATATTCATTTGACTGGGCTGGCGATGCTTTCACTGCCATGCAACAGTCCAACGCAAGCCCACAGCAAGCCAAGTGGGCGACTGACTTCAGCAATCCCACCTCTATGCCGCCCCAGCAGCCCTTCTCCATTCCACCTTCCCTGCTTACACACGCCACAATGGAGCGCTATGGTCAAGTCACCCCGCCAGAAGAGCACTCCCCAGTTCAGCCCAATCGCGAAGATCGCGAAGGCTCAATTCCCGTCGACGAATTGCGGAACGAGACCGCCCTAAGGCCCAAGCAAGAACCCTCGCCACACATGTCGCCCGCAAAGCGACAACGCCCTAGTCGCCATGATTCGGCCAATCAGGACATGGTTGCCGGTGAACTGCCTAGCGCCGCCGTCCCGCAACACCAAGACAATGCCGACGGCAACCCCCAGCCGCCGAAGCGCAAGCGGGGAAGGCCCAAGTCGCAACCTCAGATGATTGAGGCCTACACTGCAGACGGCTATCCCTTCCAGGTCTCTTCGGCCCGACAGACCCATCTCGAGAAGAACCGTGTCGCTGCTCACAAATGCAGGCAGCGCAAGAAGGAGTACATCAACAGCCTCGAAGGCCGCGCACGCGAATTCTCCGCAAAGAACAAGATGCTCAAGGAGAATGTCGCTCTCTTACGTGAGGAAGTCCTTGATCTTAAGAACGAAGTACTGGCCCACGCCGGCTGTGGCTTCTGGGCCATCGACGAGTACCTAGCGAGATGTGCTGGTGGCCTTCTCGGTATGGATGCACCTGCACCTGGTATGCCTGGCCACCACGCCACACCACGGCTCAACAACAGCAATCACAGCCCCGTCATGGCTTCCCCCAGCACCGCTCACCAACATGCCCGGGAGACCAGTATGGGATCCATGAGTTCCGGTGATGCCGATGACTTTGGCGGCCTCGAACTCCTCAAGGACTTTACCGATGAAGACATGGATGATTTGGAGGCATAGGAAGCCAACCTGAACATTCTCGCATTCAAGGCCTTTTATTGTTAACGCATCCCACACCACCCTGACTTCTTCGATACCGAGTGTAGATTGTTGGGTTGCAAGTTTTCCTCACTTCTTCCAATCACTTCACGATACCCCTGGGCCTTGCCCTACTTTGAGCAACTAAAAGCTTCTTCTTCTTTTCTTTATTGCATTTGCTGCAATGACCAGCTAGTTTGAGCTGCAGTGGCCACGACTGATGACATGGCGTTTGAACGAGAGGTGGGATAGATATTTCACCGCCTACGAGTTTACTGTTTACACATAATAAAGCAAAACGTGGAGGGATCATTACTAGACATCTCTCTCAAGTAGTTGGCTATACATCAACGGTACCTTGATCAACATACTGTCTTCCTTGTGGTGTGATGGTCTGCAATTCCTCCCTGGCCATCCTGACCGATTCAGGTCCCAACAACACGCATCCTGTTGCCCCACGACCTGTCGTTCTGATCGCGCCTCGCTTACCCGCTACGTCTAGCAGTCCCCACTTCTTGTCACACGTCAAGTCAGCCGCAACCAGGGATGACGTATCAAGTGACCACTCTTATTGGCTCCCGGAAAGTCTCTCCGGAGCACACGAAGTCCAACACTGTTCAAGATTCCAACTTCTCGCGTACCTCATTGCTGTCAGCGTTAGTACGCGTTGCGTACCACAGGCTGATTCGGGCCTTCTACAACGGTCCTTTGTCCCGCGCGGCAGCCCCGTTCATGCCGGACATACATGCACCTAAACTAGCAATCTATACCCCACAGAGAACCCGAGTCCATAGTACACGGTGAACCTAACTTACTTCTCTAGCTCCAAAAGAATGATGTCTAATGCCGAGTGCGAGCGGCAGATATTCACAATATAGTGGAGGTTCAACGGGGGAGACTGCCAGGTGCATGTCATAGATACATACCAGTGAACCATATGCTCGATCGCGGAAGTTTCCTAGGAGTATACTGTAGGAACAAACCAGTCATGCACATATACGAAGTTGAACTTTGTGTGCTCATCTCAAAACGCAATTGGTCTGTAGTATTCTCGTATGGTAGCGAAAAGTGAACCATACATTCAGCTATGACGAAAGCCTCAGCCCGTCTCCGCCAGTACCAACAACTGCACAAAGTTTCCTGCTGAATGATCCTCCATTAGTTACGGAGAAATTGCTTTTATCGCCTAGCGATCTTCAAATTTGCTCAACGGGCATGATGTCCGGGATAATCGCCACTGCTTCACCCTGGGTTAGCGTGCTCAGAATTCCGCACCTTTTCCTGGTCTCTGGCCCCTCGTGCATCGGACACGTTGGAAACAGAGACAACGGGGTCTTGCTATTGCGTCATATCACCCCATTCTCCTATCTCGCGTAATGCTCCTCGTTTCGGTCCGAAAGAGGATTTTCTGGTTTGGAAAGAAAAAAGGTTCGGCGGATGAGGTTGCCGCGGAGACCTCTCGTTTGAGAACGACATGTGTAGCAGGGGAAGGGGAAGCGAGATGACGGTGCCTCTGTTTTTGGAAGGCATTACCAAACTCAACTGCCCGTGTCCTACGAAAAACTGCCCTAACAGAAAAGCCTTTTTTATTTGTTTACTACACTCACAGTAGCTAAATCCGCGACAGAGTGGCGTTACTGGTCTAGACAACATGTTCCAGGGTTCACAGTTGTTCCTCTGTACGGGATTCGCGGCGGACGTTTGTGCCGCGCATCACATGTGCCGTTGGACGATCCATTCCTTCTCCAGATGCCTAAGCGAAGGAGGGAAGACGGGTACTGCACCCGTGAGGTACGACGACTTCCCGTGTTTTTGGTTTCATGAATAGATTGGGTCGACATTCTTATCTACGAGAGAGAGAATGTTGAGTTGTTATTGGGCATTGCTGTGTCCCCTTGTATTATAGACGAAAAAAGTCAAGTCAATCTGGCGAGGTACCCATACGTAGTCCTGCCCAAGCACTCGAAGTTGTACAGATACCGAAACTGTTAGTGTAATTGAATGTACCATTTTAGTCTATCTAATTGCCCCTCACAACCAGCCCTCTCAAACTTCCCATCTTTCCCTTGGTGCGTTCATGTAGTGCAAGACGTGGATATCCATCCTTTTAATAACGCACATCCGTACTCTCACAGGCTTTCCATGGCTCAAACTCCCCCCTCTCCCCCACACATACGCCCTGCATTGCCCCGTAGCGTGTAGCACATCTAGAACACGACCGCCAGCAAGCTATATCCGCTACCAATAGTACCTACCAGATGAAGCAACTTATGGAAAGAGTGTTGATGGTAGTGGAGGCGTTACCCGGGGCCATACAGACGTGTTTGTGAGATTGTTCGGTCGTGCTTGGGTAGGTGGTTTCATACTTGTTTGATTCGGGTTTTCGGCGTTGTGTTGTATGTGGTAGCCAGGAACCGATAACGTGCACACGGAACGGTATGGGTGAGTGAGATGTTCGTGTATACCAGGTCAGATAGTGTTTCCTGAACATTGAGCTGGAAAAGTGTCTACTGTGAGATGGGCGTCTTGAAGACTAGCGCGACGTGGTCGTCGCCAGCTGTGACAACTGCCTCACCAGCTCCTTGTACAAAGGCCATGATACCTCCTCCCTCACCGCCTCCCCTGTGTCCCTTCCATTCGCCTACGAGGCCCTTTCCAGCCGCAGCTGTTCCGCCTCGTGCATCCCATCGCTTCAGGACACCGTCGTATCCCGCGCTCGTCAGCAACCAACCTCCTGGACCTTCCTTGGCGACAAACTCGAGCTTGACGACAGCCTGTGGGGACTCTTCGTCGGCGTGCGCATCTTCTATCCGCCTTCGGACGGCAAAGCGATGTGCGGTGTCGAAGAGGGTGATGGAGCCGTCGACGTTGCCGGCGGCCATGAGGGTGAGGGGCGCGGAGGAGAAGCTCATGCACTCGACGTTGTCGCTTCCTGCCTGGAGACTGGCCAGGATCTGTCCAGCTTGACCGGCCGATGACGCACCGCCCTTGGCACCAGCCTGCTTGCCTCCGCCAGCTTTGTTCTTTGCGCCTCCACCACTCGACGATGTTGATGCTTGGGCGGGCGCGGCGAGGGAAAGGCGCGGTAGACCGACGATTCGGATTTGACCTTCGGGACCACCGACTGCGACGAATGCGCCAGATGGCGGGATACCGACAGAGTATAGTCCGCCCTCAACACGGAAACGCTCGTCCAGGCCTGTCAGACCAACCACGGCTTGCGAGTCGGTAGTCGCTGTGAGACCCTGGGAGGCAGCATCACCGAATACATCCCACACGTACAGACTCGAGTCTTCGGAGATGGTAGCGAGGAGGGAACCGTCGGGTGACCATGTGCCGGCAGTGCAGGTCTCGGTGTGGAGGTAGTAAGCTTGTAGCACCCGTAGCTCGTTGTTCTTCTCTGTGCTGATCTGGTACACCCATACCGAGCCGTCGTTCGCGCCAAGCGCGATAACGTTGGGGTGGTCGGGCGACGGGTTCGGGGCGACCCAGTTGATCTCCTCAACCTCCTGCGCCTCTGCTAGGAACTTCCACTTCTTGCCGTCGGGAACGCCCTGCCAAACACGCAATTTGCCGTCCAGGCCAGCTGTCGCTACGAATTGTCCCTTTGGCTGAGTGAATGTAATGGCGTTGACCGAGTCCTTGTGTCCGTCTAGTGTGAAGATGCTCTTCAGGCCGTCGCGCTCGGTGGGTTGTCCGTCGCTGCTCGGTTGCGCTGCTGCCGCCGAAGACACGTCGACAATGTAGCCGACATCGTCGCCGCCTCCTGTGGCGATGATCTCGTGGTGCACTGGATGTTGCGCTATGCAGAAGATGCTGTCCTTGTGTTGGTCAAAATGCGCGACCGAGTCGTTTTGTAGGTTGATCTCCATCTGCATTTCTTGGCGACCCTCGTCGCCCTCGTCGTCTGAGTCCATGGGAACGTCGCCATCGTCCTCTACAATTTCCTCGGCTTCCTCGGCGTCAAGTGTGTTGTCTACGTCGTGTACATCGATGTCGTCCTCATCGTGTTGAGGCTGGTTCGACGTGGGATTTGTGCTTGACATGTTGTGGGCTTGCTCGATAACGATTTTTGCAGGGGGAATAGTAGGTACAGGACGTGTACAAAATACGCACTGCAGTATGCGCGATGTTATATGAGTCTTCGTAGTGTATTGCTTAGAAATGTCGAATTGCACCTTCGGGAGGAACTTTTTTTGCCCAAAACCCCGTCGGAGGGGCACAACGCCGACCCCTCACACGTCATTTGTCATCTTCACCACCACCATCTCCTTTGCGGTATAACCAAACGTCACGACTTCCAAAGATATAGAAAAACAATACCGTTTGGTTTGTGTTGTATTATATTACAACGTGAAGAACCGGTCTACCTTTATTACTTATGGCGCAGTCTTCGGTCTTCAAAGCCTTGCCCTTGTCGCATCTTTGACAACAATGCCAAACTTTCCACTCTTCTCCTTGTCCCTTAGAATTCTTCTTAGTATCTTACCAGAAGGACTCTTCGGTATCTCGCTGATGAACTCTACTTCCTTCACCCATTTGTACCTCACTTTTTTCTCCTTGACATACTCAATAATTTCCTTTCCTATAGCTGTACTCTCCTCCGTTCCTGGCTTCAAGACAACATAAGCCTTCGGAAGCTCACCAGAGTAATCGTCCTTCACGCTCATCACTGCAACGTCTTCGACCTTCGGGTGGCCTAGAAGCAGATCTTCGAGCTCAGCCGGCGCGACGCCAATGCCCTTTACTTTGATGAGTTCTTTGATACGATCAGAGATGTGGATCATGCCCTCTTCGTCGATAGCGCCCCGGTCACCGGTATGGAGGAAACCGTCGGCATCGAAAGTGTCGCGAGTAGCCTTCTCGTTATTGAGATAGCCCATTACGACCTGCGGACCGCGAGCCAGCACTTCACCATCTTCGCCAACATCGCCCTCAGTACCATCGTCTTTGATAATCTTGACCTCGGTGGAGGCTACGATTGCACCACCTGAGTGCGCGTACTTGTATAAGAACTTCTCCGGTGGATGCGCAGTGATGCACGAACACGATTCTGTCATGCCGTATCCTTGCTTAAAGCCTGTGTTGGGAAACTTCTTTTGGAGCTGCTGGATGATCTCTTCTGACAGTGGAGCTGCGCCAGACGAAAAGCGTGTGACATGGCTAAGGTCGTACTTGTCGACCAAAGGATCGCGCACTAGTCTGATAAGGATCGGTGGAACTAGCAACAGCTCGCTCAGCTTATACTCAACAATGACATCGAGCATCTTCTCCATCGTGAACTGCGGGAGCATGACGACCTCTGCGTTCAGAAGAACAGGGAGATGCATCTGATGGACCAGTCCGGTGATATGAAAAAGCGGCAGTACGGCCATGATCTTCTTCTGGTTTGTTGGCGTAATCTGCTGAACCTGGAGACATTGCGCTATGACATTCTGATGGCTGATCATAACAGCTTTTGGTAATCCGGTCGTTCCTGACGAGAAGGACAGAAACCCGCAGACGTCTTTGTTCTTTTTACCGGGCGGTAGTTTGAAAGCTGGTGTCTGCCCAGACTCGCCATACGACTCTCCCGTACGGATCAGATCTTGAACGGTGGTATATCCCGGCAATTCGCCCTCTAGCAAGAAAACATTCGATTGCGGTAGACCTGCAGCCTTTGCACTCGCCGCAGCAATTTCCATACTACCTGGCGTCGTCATAAGAAACTTTGCATCCGCAGTCTTTAGCGCAAAAGTCATTTCCTCGATATTGTATGCCGGGCTAGCACCGCTAATCTTTGCTCCTACACGGAGTCCCGCGAACATGGCTACTGGGTACCACACCGTGTTCTGGCTGAAGAGTGCCACCGTTTCGCCCTCTTTAAGACCATACTTCTTGACAAGCGCCGTAGAGATGTACGTCGAGTATTTCTTGACATCAGCCCAGTTCACACGTTCTTTCGTAATCGCATTTTGGAACCCAGCAAGTTCATTCGGTGCATATTTGTTGATGGGTGAGTAGGCAGAATCGAATAGCCAGTCCCAATCTGTTAGCTCGGTGGGCACTATTGGTGTTAGCAATGCGGTCTCGTGGCGACTAGTGGAAACGAACAGTCGATGGGCGGCTGTCTTGACTTGAAGATCACCATGTTGATACAATCAGCTCGTCAACAGCTACAAAGCAAGGCGCGCCTTATGATCGGTGATGTGGATACGAGGAAGCAAATGCCAAAGTCGCAACGGTCAGGACAAGGGACGACTTACAAGCGGAAATCCTGCGTCCATGTCTTCTAATAGGTGACCGTCATCACCCTTCCTCGGCGCGCCCATTCCTATCGGATTCGCACCACTCGAGTCGATCGTGGAGCGGGGATAGGTACAAGGCGGGGTTATAGCAGCAACCGAGCCATCCGAAAACAGCAAAGATCGGCATACCCTCTGACGTTCTCCCGGGTAACATCCAAGCCAGGGTAGGTAAGAGCCGCATCATTGTCACACAGCAGATCGTTATAGTCTCGAGACTCAGTCGGAGTACCGGAATCGTTCGCACATAAAGTCTAGATGCAGTAGCTTCTTGTGGCCGCTGCAGCTTGCACACATCGTACTACGACCCGACGAAGCGAAACATTACTTATACGACCAACATGTCCGAGACAGAAGAATCGCAACACGACCCTATCCTGAAGGTAGAAAGCAACAAAGACCTCAGGATCACTCTCATTGGCACCGGAACTATTGGTCTATCTTTCGCCGCGTTCCACCTGTCACACCTACTTGGCCCTTCTCAGCTCACCATCTATGATACCCGGTCAAATGTCGATGAATACGTCGAGGAGAACCTACCTAAATTCTTCGCAGAAGAGCCTTCAGCAGCTGCTATATCCAATATTCGCATCGCTACATCCCTCGAATCAGCCGTGGAAGACGCACATATCATCCAGGAATCAGGTCCAGAGAATCTAGCCTTCAAAAAAGAACTATGGGCCAATGTAGAGAAACACGCGCCTGAGCATTCTCTATTCTGGAGTAGCACGTCCGGAATACCGGCGTCAGAGCAAGCACAAGACATGCAGGACAAATCGAGATTACTGGTAGTACACCCGTATAACCCACCGCACATTATGCCATTGCTGGAACTTGTTCCGTCGCCAGATACGTCAAAAGAGGTCATCCAACGAACGCAGGAGTTCTGGACTCTCCGTGGAAGAGTGCCAATACATATCAAGAAGGAAACAACGGGCTTTGTGGCGAATAGACTGGCGTTTGCACTCTTACGCGAAGCAGTTCATCTTGTCGACGAGGGAGTCGTTTCAGTAGAGGAACTGGATAGCATTGTGGAGAGTAGTATGGGGCCGCGATGGGCGATTGCTGGGCCTTTCAAGAGCTATCATGCTGGCGGCGGACCGGCTGGGTTGGAAGGCTTCTTCAAGAATATCGGAGGTACCGTGCAAGATTGCTGGCAAGATTCTGGAAAGCCGAACGTCGGGGATGGGTGGGAGAAAAAGATATTCCGGCAATCTCAGGACGCATACGGCACTATAGACGTCAGTCAGCGCGACAGGCTGACACGACGGGTGTTGGAAGTATTGAGAGAGGGAAAGAACAAGGGTGCGAATACTTCAGAAGATTGAATAACTCAGTCCCAATTAGAGAAACACAAATCAGCGCTGAGCAAATTGCGTAACAATCAATGAAGAGACCTCTAAATCTACCACGTACTAGTACGTCTAAACGATTAGGTACAGGCTGGTGATGACACTGGGTCCAATGAAGAGACCAAACCAAAAGATGATGTTCCCCAACGTATCCCGTCCTTTCATAAACTTCGTCTTGCTAAACGCCGCCAATGGTAGTTGTGTCAACTGGAATGTGAACAGATACCCTCTGACCTTCTTGAACAAACAGAACATAAGGACCTCATGCACGATAGCGCTCAGCAGGAAGGTAAAGAACGTCGCCTGCATCTTGGACAGATGGAAGAAAGAGATTGAAGAGTGGTAAACATGTCGAAGCAGGAAGTTGTGAACGGGTCGGTTCCAGTCGCGAGCGTATTGATCGAAAGACACGGAGTTCCACCATGCGCCGTAGAAACCTCGATCAGCAAACCTGGTGACTTCTGCCAGTACGTTGAGTAGACATTCCCATATCACGTACCAACTGAGAAGTTGTTCGATGAGGAGGGGGAAGAGCATATCGGATACTGTTAGGCAGACTAGTTAGCCAAGACTTCATCATTTCTTGATAGTGCAACACTTACCAACCCACGGGAACTCCTTCCACCGCTCATCCAGTGACATGCCAGCGTCTCTGTGCCGCACAGTCTCAACGACCACAGGGTAGATGTATGCTTGCGAGATGACAATCATAACCCAGATGACTCCCAAAGTGGCAGCCGACTTTTCGGCGACATACCACCAATTTATGCGCTCCTGGCGAGGATATTCTAGATCGTAGACAAGCGTTGGGAGACACGTCCACTCCGCGAAGTTATAGAACGTCAAGTTATTTGGGTAGACGTTGTCCGTTGTGGTACACTTTCCGCGTAGTTCCTCATCGAGGATTGTAATCTCAGTGTTGAGCACGCGTCGGAAAGCTTCAATCTGTTCTGGATCGAGCGGGCTTCCAGCTTCAATAGCTTGCCCAATAGATGCAATCTCCGACTCTTCCTTCGAGAGATTCGTCGAGTACTTCGGGCCAACACTTCCTCGCTGTGTCAACTCGCCTTGGTCAGAGCTGTTGACACCAGAGGCTGTCAGCGCCTCAGCTGGAGGAGACGTTTGGGTTGGGCCCTCTTTCGCTTTGATGTCATCGAGCTGGTGTAGCTTTTCGCGCAACAGGTTGCGTCGTCTATACACCCGTGATACTGTTGATAGTTAGCTCAAGACTTGCCAAGTTTGATCACATGACATACAGTAACCGTTGTAGAAAGAGTAGGCGTGCTGCTTCATCAGTAGTACGAAGACGTGTAAAACGATGAAGACGGTGTGGGTCCAAGGCCAATCTCGCCAGAAGGTGACCCAAATAATGGTACATGTGAAGAATGTTTGCCACAGAGACTGTATAAGCCAGCCTGAGCCGTTCCACGTCAAATAGTCTTTGGCTATGGCCTTGTGCAGAAAGAAGCCGAAGCTGGTCGCCACACACATTACCACATCCGTTGTCAACATGACAAACAAATCTTTGTCGATCATCAAATGCAGAATTTCTGCATCCCCAAATACGGAGCCCTTGGTCCTGTAGTTTTTTGCTGCTATTCGCGCAAGCAGCAGAGCCATCGCGATCCAGAATAATGTGAAAAACCCATGGAATGGAGAATGCGCAGCGGAAGCATTTTGACGGTCGAATGTGGTAAACTGTTGCGTAAAGACAAGATCCCTTGGCTTGCCCTTGAGTTTTCCGCTCAGTTTCTCGGCCTCTCGCCGCAGTCCGGACTGCAAAACCTCTTGGAAAACTGGATCTTTTGCCGTGAAGGTATACTCGCCCTTTTTGCCTGATTGCTCTAGCACAACTTGGATACTCTTTCTCCTGCTTCCTGGCTTTTCGACCAACTGCGTTTCTGAACCGCTGTCATCAGACGGAATAGCTGTGGTGCTTTGACTTCGTGACTCTCCTGCGTGCTCATCATCTTGAGATTTTAAATTCGTTGCGCCGTCCACGTCCAAGGTTTCCGATGCAGCGTTGGCCGTCCACGTATCCTGACTGCTGAGTGGCGGTCGCGTCGAGAGTCCCTGCAGTACGTGTGTCATTGCCGATCCCTCATGCGTCTGCGGTGTCAGATGGGTGCCTTGGCTTTCTAACTTTGATGTCGCGTTGTTTATGGTTCGAGGGTTGGCTTATTGATGAACGGAAGCCTGGCGATATATACTGTCTGGCTGATGTCGATCTGGATGTTCGTGGCTGTCAAAACGAAGCTGTGGCACGGGTCCCTTGTAACGGAATCATCGGAACGGGCGGACTTTGCGAATTCACGACCAGATGTAAGACGACAGGCAGGTTTTGGTGAGATAAACCAAGACAGCTGACAGATCGTCTCCGAGAGAACCGGTGCCCGTCAATAGCAGCTGCTGGGAAGTGGTTTTCATATTTTAATCAAAGATGAAGATGTACATGATGTAATGCCGAGCCCTGCGTCGCGGAAGCTCATCCGCTCGCGTGTCCGCCACGTCACGTGTTTCTCCAGCCACCTCGCCGTCCCTGGAGGGGCGCCTTGGCTTCGTCGCATTGTCCCACCCATCGTCCCACTTTGCAACCTACCGTGCCTTCGATATTTAAGCCGCCGCACGCAAACCTCCGACTACCCGCACACCGCTGCTAGCTTCAACACAGCCCGGCCGTTTCGGGATCGGGGTCGGAATAAACTCTTGCCCGGGGTCTCTTTAATCAGCTCTCCCCTTCGCATTTCAGGACTTAGCGGTGCGACAAAGAATCGCCGTGCCCTCAGTATCTACTTCATCAGAACCACTGGGATCATGGACTGACACGCTGCGACCCTACGCGCCGAGGCTGCAGGTCCCATTTAAGGCGTCCATCGAATGTCGCGCACCCTCGCTTCCACCCTTGTGGGACCAGTCAAGGCGGCCAACAAGTGCTTTGAATGGCTTAGCGACGCCTCGAATGCCCCTGATCCTATTCGCAAAATGAGAATTACGGGAACAATGCAGGCTGTTAAGAGGCGCAGCACGAACATAGCATGCAGACGATAATGCTGAAATACTCTCAAGTGCCGTGAACCGTGTTTTGCGAAAGTTGCGCTTCATCATCTCTTGAGCATCCAACTGTGTCCCTATATTCCCGGAGCCTCCAACCAGCGACCGCAACGACAGTTGAACCTCCAGATTTGCGCTTGCATTAACACACAACGTTCATCATGGCACCAAGACGCGGGGGTGGTAGTGGCGTTGGATATATGACTTCAACATGTTCGGGAGCTTTCACGTCACCACTTGCCCAAGCCAGCCTCGCATACGATGTGGTATTCCTTGTCCTTTTCCTGGGGCTCTCCATCGCGACATTCTTCGTTCGCAGGAAGAGCGAGGGCGGAAAGAAATTGATCGGCGTACCCTTCGTTGTAGCACTTTTCTTCCAAGTTCTGTAAGTCTGACTCCTGCATCACAGACTTCATAAATGCTGACTTCTCTAAGCTCGCGCCTTTTGGTTCTCATAGGCGAGCTCATGTATGAGTGCAGTGACCTGAGCGTCGACGACTATCTGAATTTATCAGTAGCGTCCAACGTCATGTCCCGCCTGGCTAATTGGATGCTGCTCGTCATTTTCGTCTACATCCTAAACTCTATGCTGCTTAAGCAACTCGAAACTACATCTTCCGGATCTAAGACCGTGTCTTGGATCATCATTGGGGTCATGGCCGCTGTCATGATCGCGGACTTGGCACTTTCCAGCTACGTCTCGATAAGCAGCAAGTACTGGAACTTCGACTTTGCTCTCACGATGGTCACTGCACGAGCCTTCTCCCTCACAGTCGATATCTTATGGTTGATTAGCGTCATCATCTCTGCGGCCATTTCGCTGTCGAATGTCTCTGCATTGAGATCACGACGCCTACCCGGAGGCGTAAGTTGACGGCAAAAACGGTCTACTATTGCATCCGCTAACAAATTTGTAGGACCTCATCGGCTGGGTAACGGCTCTTTATATCACCTTATTCGTCTACTCCGTATTAGGGATCGTATTCTCATCCTTCTACTTCTGGCCTTATGAATCTTCTGTTTCGAATGAGGCAATGATTGCCCTGTCGTTCATCTCGGCACTGTCACAAATCCTGACTTTTGTGACTCTGATGTGCATCGCCAAACACATCTCCTGGAGCCAGACGATCGAGAAGACCGAGCCAGTATATGTGCCTGTTATGCAGCAGCAAGCGACGTACGCCTATGGCAATGGCCAGCAGGATTACTACCAGCAAACCCCCGAACTCGTACATGTTAGATGAGAAGATGATGGACGAAGGGGCACAAGTGCTGTGCCGCTGATGTATTTTCTTTCTACACCACGATATTGTTCCACCATATACCCAAAATCTAGCTCCGGAACGTAATGTCTACACCCTTTGTGTCTTTTACTTCCAGAACCACTCTTCAACCATTCTGCACGATTTCCAATTATCCAACCCAAGGGACGCGACATGCGTTCTATAAATCGCCAGAAAAAAATTGCAAAAGTGTTAATTATCCTCTACTAAGAGGAGCTCGTCTTGCTAGATCGGCCGAGGTGGGGCCAGTATCAGTGTTGCTCGGTGGAGTGCATCCTCGAGAATCAAGACCAGCAAGCACACATAATGAGAGCATCTACACTATTGCCTACGTAGTGACGCTTGGCCTCATCGTACTTGAAGCATGCGGTAATCAACTACAGTTGAAATGCTGGCGCCCCTACACATCTCGTAGGATGATGCAGTTGCTCGCTTCGGCCCCCACAACAAGTCATGCAAGGTATGCAGCATGCGCCTCAGCCGCAGCAGGGGCTCAGCCTGTATGTGGATCCTACCCTGACCTTGAACCACCTTTATCCTCGCCCTCCATATGATCAGTACAACGACACGATACTTATAAACACACTAGTAATGCTTGCACAGCGATTACCCTACAATGGCCGAAGTCGTGGGCCTTGCAGCTAGCATCATTCAGATCGCGGGGGCTGGAGCCAAACTCAGCGTCACATTATACAACTTCACGAGCTCAGCTGCCCGAGCAGACCAAGACATTAGGGACATCGCCGAGGATGTAGAGCTCACTTCCAACGCGCTCGAAAGCGTAGGAAAGGTGTTTGAGTCTGAGGACGCAAAGTCGATCATCTCGAAGAAAGCTGTCCAGGACGGCCACAACATAATCAAAAAGTGCCAGGGCGTTTTCGACGAACTATCGGAGATGGTGGAGAAGAGAAGGAAGACAGGAAAGGACGGAAAGAAGACCCTGAGTATGATGGGTAAATTGGCATGGCCGATGAAAGAGCAGCGGGTTGAATTACATCGGAAGAGGCTAGAAAGCTTGAAGAACAGCCTTGTACTCTTGTTGCATGTGTTGCAACTGGCGCAAGGTCAGTCGCGAGAGTGAGTCAAGAATTCCATCGCCGCGCATGAAATGCAGCTGACAGCAGCCGTAGCAAAATAGAAAAGAGCGTCATAGAAGAAGAGCGCGACAAGATTCGTGAACTGCACCAACGGCAGCAGGACTCAATCAAAAGCCTACAAGCTCTAGAAAGCAGATTTTGCGGTGTTGCAATCGACGACGAAGAGACTCTTCAAGGATCAAGCAACGCCTCCCGTGTTCCAACACTGGAGCTCATGACTAACGCTCAAACCATGAAACTGCCACCTCTGGAGAACGACATAGAGTCCCAGACAAACACTGTCACTATCGATATCTCTGCCATAGACGATGCCGATACCTCCGACAGCGACGCTACAACGACGGACGAAGACGATGAGCATATATCCAGAGAGGAACTATCAAAAGCGGCGAAGCACGTTACAAAACTGCTCAGGCGCATTATAGTGCTTCAAAAGAGCCTCGAAAACGACCAAAAACCCCACCAGAAGCGACGCGTACGCAAAATCTACCAACGCTTCTGCCGCAAGTTTGAATCAGGTATCAATGTCACTCAAGCCATGGGTCCGTCAAGGTATGGGTCTCCGGCCACACGGTCTTCGAACCAATACAATCATGCATTCGATTTGGGTGACATGGAAGAGGGCACCCTAGAGAACTTTGACTTTGATAGTTTTCTTCATGTCGGGTCTGAGAGCACGCCATTTCCGGTAGTGCCTCAACAGCAGCAACCAATGTCACCGCTTCCACCAGGACAACACCTGAACGAACCGCGACCAGAAAGATTCCAATTCGATTTCAATCACATCGTACCAAACATGAACTCCGAAGCAGTTTCCTCTTGTGATGCGCGCTTTCAGATCCCTGAATCCACCGTACCGGGTGCCTACTTCAGCCCAGTTACATCACCTGCCCCGAATGCCCAGAGCCATCAGCATGCACATCAGCAGTCGCAGGAAACGACGTCCGGGACTTCAACAAAAGAGGGATCACGATTTGAAGAGTTTGATGGAGGAAGATTACCTGAAGATGGAAGTCTAATGACAAGATCATTGAGAAGCACCCAGAAGCGGAAGCGGTCGCGTCCCATTGTGTCGGATGCCGTTCGTCAGAGGAACCCTCACGCCCAGGAGACACCATCGATTCCAGACGACACGCGCACCCCAGTGGTGCGCCCTCCGTCGGATGATAAACCGGAGCAAGAAGCCGACAGTCCTCGTGATAACAAGATACGCCGTATAAGAAGTACTCTAGACGTCGGTCTCGAAGGTGCATACAGTACTTTGTTACAGAAGGAGAAGAAGAGAAAACAGATATTCGAGATCGAAGAACCTTTTGACCCAGGCGACCGAGACGTCGTTGATGTGCTGCTTGAGCAATGGACGGTACCAGAGCATTGAAGGTCATAGTTCGTTCAGTTCTATCTTATGACTTGACGATAGTTCTACGCACCAAAATTATCCCAAGGCAACATCATTGATTGATAAGAATCATCACATAATATACTGCCCGTCTACTTTTCATGTATTATTTCTCCATTGCCGTCTCAGTCACCACCATGTTTATAGGTCGACCCAACACTTGGTAACCCTCTGCTTCGCTAACCCAAACGGCTTGTCCCCATTCTCAATCTCGAGAGTCTCAGTTTCAAACTCACTAATCACCCTTCCCTTGAACGGATCCTCAACACCATCACTCCAAAGATACGTCACAGCGTTCGCCATACACTCGATCTGAATGCCTCGGAAGCCCATCAACTTTGCCTCGCGCCTCAACCAACGCGCCGCACCAGACGCAATTTTCTCGCCCTCATAGTCGTGGCGTGTAGACGTGGCGTTGCGCATCAACACCTGCCTCGGTGCAGTAGGTTTCCACTCCGAAGGATCTCTCGGGTCGCGCTTCTCCAGAGTACCGTACAACACAGTAAACTCGGGCCACAATTTGAGCAGCGGTCCCATCCTTGCGGGATCAAGCCCATTAAATCCATCGTACGATAGAGCTATACTGACCAACGGAAAATCCATCTGTTGGAGCAATCGCATGCCTTCTGCTTTGCGTCCTTGGGTTTGCTCCACACTAGCTTCTTCTGGCTCATTCGCATCCCAGAACAATTTCCCACCAACTTCTTCAGCCTCTTTAGTTTTGAACTTGTATTCCGTGTCAAAGACACCGTATGAGAGCCCAGAGTTGACTTGGTGTTCTACGAGATATTCCATCTGTGAAGCACCCTTCAAGGCCCAGCGGCCGAGTACCCGGTCTGGCCAAATATACTGCCAGACTGATGAATGGAAAGCATGGCTGTGAGCCAGAATTGCTGTGGCCCAGGGAATGTGTTTAGGTTCCAGTTTACGTATCTCATAGCGGGGCTTTAGAGACGAGGGGTTGGAGGGAGTAGGCGTCTTTGTGTTGGTTGGTTGGGACATCTTGGCGTTTGTTTTGCCGTGACTCTAACGAAAGACCCAATCCGCCAGTAGGAGGTGATCGTTTCGGACAGATTGGTAATAGAGGCAGGAGTACTGTACGAGTCAAACAAAACGTATGTAGACGTATCTGCGCTAAAAGACGTTGAGTTTTAGCGATCGGTCAATCTACAGACTCGAATGTGAGGCGAGCTGCAACATGTACATTTATTAATGACCAACTTCGCCCGACACCACACAAGTGCCCGCAGTGATGCACAGTATCGGCAACGAATTTTCTCGCAGGCACTCTTGACCATGTTGGGAAAGGAAGGTAATCCTAAGCTACACAAAGCCCTCGGCTACATGCATCAGGATAAACCGACCCACCTACCTAATCTCACTCGCATAAAGTACTGTACCATGTCGTTAGTCGATTGGATAAACCCGAAGGAGCTTAGTTAGAGGACTTTTGCCGGACTTTGGGGCCAGGAAGGTATTGAAATTAGAGTATGCAGCTTGTAGGAAAGTCTCTGTTGCGAATTAGTCATCGGGTCCGCTATATCGTACGAATTGATTCATTACAGGGCGTAAGGCTTATGGCGGATTAGACCAATCCTTTCCCTTCCTGTAGCAATGCGATACCTTGCTCTTTTAATTTGAACTTTTGTATCTTTCCACTGGCGGTCTTGGGATAGTTGTCCACCCAGAATACATACTTCGGCACTGAATCCTGCAGTCAGCGTCGCTCTTACTCGGGTCCAGAGTCTAAGCTTCAGAAGCCTGGGCATACATCGACTTACCTAGGTGATGGCTCAACTTCTCCCGGACCCAACTTCTCACTTCATCTGCAGTCACGTTCCCTTCATCGCCCGCATGTCTGACTACAAACGCTGCAACGATCTCGCCATAACGCTCGTCCGGCAGGCCTACAACGCTAACCTCACTGATAGCAGGATGAGCAAAGAGACAATTCTCTACCTCCAGAGGATGAATGTTCTCGCCTCCTTTGATGATCAAGTCTTTTATCCTGCCTGTAATTTTGATATAGCCTTCTTCATCCATGGATGCCTCGTCACCAGTGTGCATCCACAACCTGCCGTCTTCATCTGGCTGCAGAACTTCTTCTGTGCGTGCTGTGTCGCCCCAGTATCCTTTCATTACAAGGTAGCCCGATACGGCGAGTTCGCCGCGCTGACCTACGTTGAGGGTTCGCGACCAGTCTGACGGATTGACGACCTTGGCACGAACATGCGGGAGGAGACGGCCAACACTATCGATACGCTTCTCGATAGGGTCATCCGTGGTGGTCATAGCTGATACGGGAGAAGTCTCGGTCATGCCGTAACAGATTGTTAGCTCGGTCAAGTTCAGGTTCTTGTGTAGTTTGCGCATGAGTTCAGAAGGAATCGCAGAGCCTGCTGCGATGCCGGTTCTGAGGTACTGGAAGCCATCTTTAGGCACGGCACCGTGAGCCAGCAGCTCAAGTTCGGCTACAAACATGGTAGGTACCCCATAAAGGGCTGTGCATCTGTATTCGCGAACGGCTTCGAGTGTGGCGAGGGCGTTGAAGGCTTCGGTTGGAAATACGATAGCGCTGCCATGCGTAGCTGTAGCCATGTACCCGAGAATGCATCCAAAGCAACTACGGAGGGTCAGGTAATGTTGATGCTGAGACCCACGAGAACTTACTGGAATAATGGAGGCGGACAGCACACGACGTCGTCTGGTGTCAGCAGCATCCTGTCACCGATGCTATTGCCATTATTCAAGATACTCTTGTGACTCAAACACGCAGCTTTTGGCATGCTCGTCGTCCCAGACGTAAACTGAATGTTCACAATGTCGTCTGGATGTAACCCTTGGTCTTCAAACGCGTTGTCCTGGCCACCATCTTCGATGACGTGCTCGTACCTCTTTAAACTCCTGTACTCGTCCAGATCCACTCTCCCTTGCGCGTTGTTTACCAGCACGACATTCTTCAGCGATGGAACAAGTTCGGATTCGAGGCTCGAGCCGGCGAGATTGGGGATCAAGTGCGTGAGGAATGAGATGTTGGATCGTGGTTCTTTGCGAGGGAGGTTCGTTTCGGCTCCGATGATGAGATGTGCGGCGTCGAGATGGTTGATAGCGTTAAGGACTTGGGGCGCGTTGAACGAGGGATTCAGTGGTACCTATGTATCTGTTAGCTGCAACTACTTTTTCGTCTAATCGAACTCTACATACCAGTATCGCGCCGAGCTTGAACAGCGCATATGTGAGAGTAGCGAATTCAGCATTGTTCCCCAAGCTAACAGCAACTCGGTCTCCCCTCTTCACACCAAGCTTCTGCAGTCCTCTTGCAAGCTTGTTCGAGTCGCGATCAAGCGCGTCGTAGGTCAAGCGTATGCGTTGGTGATGTGATATTACTCTACTTAAACGTTAGCCAGCTCGTCCTTGGAGCTTCATTGGGAAGAACATGTACGCGTCACGGTCGCCATGTTGCCTCACAACCCCCGCAAAGTGCTGCGGCACAGTCTTCTCCAGCAATGGCGGCTATTATAACGTCAGTCTCTACAATCACATCATCGGAAAGCTCGGAAGATACCTCAGTAGGTCCAACACTGTATGCCTGTGTAAGGAGACCTCGTCGCGCGCAATGGGTAGATTTAGGGGACCTTGCAGCACGAGCAAAGAGCGACCGGATCATCTTCACACGGAGAATGCATCGGATGTAAGGAGAGATATGTGTGCATCGTGAGATCGTTTTCGGTGTGGAGAAAGCTGGTTAGTGGGCTTCATTCGGAACTGAGCCGCGGGCCAGTACATGATTCTGCGGGGTAGCTGTAGGAAGCTAAAGACACGCGGTTTACGTCGGATAGCTAGCCGTCAAGGGTGGGGCTTCCCCCATCGAGACATCAGACATGGTTGTTGAGAGACAACGAACAGCAAATAGCTTCAAACGGTTTCATACACGAATCTAGTGATGGGGAAGACCATAAGTAAGGCCCTGAGATGATTCCTGACTCCAAGAAGACCACTCATACCGTGTCCCAAATGCTACCTCTCAAACTCAAGTACCCGTCTACTCGCATCACTAGCCGACCGGTTTCTGGCCGTCTTAATCTCCTCCCCAGTACCTGTAGGTGACAAGAGTTCTTGCGGTGCTTCTCCTTTTGACGCACCCACATCTGCCGTCTCTGCACCTTCTAACAGGTCTAAATCTTTCGCATCAACCTCCTCTTCGTCTTCTTCATCCTCGCGTCCATGCCGTGCCTCCTTGTCCAGCTCCTTCTGTGCTTCATCGTATCTTCTTCTGACCTCAGTCGCGACACGCATGCCGTCGTTGACGATGTTGTCGAGCATGCCTCGCAGGCCCTTTCCAGGTGGCACAACGCCAGCCCCGGCGCCGCCAACAACGCCACCCAATCCGCCACCTCCACCGCCCTGTCTTCCAGCATTCGCAAAAGTGGTGAGGTTGTGGAAACTGGAACCTGACGAGAGTGTCTCGTCGGCCAGGCGGAAAGATGATGAAAACCCAACTTCGAAGAAGTTCAGTAAGGCGTCGTCTGCAAGGATGACCATGCGGAAAGTAGGCAAGGTTATATGTAGAGGCTTGTTCGGATCCAGCGCAAGGTTTGCCGACTTGGCCTTGTCATTGCGCTCTGCAACGTCTGACTCGGTAGTGTGGTTCGATGGCGTTGGTGACAGTGGGTTTTGTTCTGACTTCTCGAACGTAGTCGCTTTGGCTTTTGGTGTTGCTGGCTCAGAGCCAAAGTCGATCAAGTCATCTTCTTCGTCATCATCGCCAATTGCAAAGTTGTCGACCTCTTCTTGAACCTGCTCGACGGCTTTATTCGTCTGGTTCGATGGATGATCGGGATCGGCATATTCGAAGCAATGCCGAATGAAGGCGGAGACGCTGCTCAAGAACTGTTCGTCTCGACCGACACGTTCTGAGCCTGCCGTAGAACTTATGTCCAGTGAAGACGCGTTTGGAGTCGGGTCGTGGACGCCTCGCCTTGACAAAAACAGTAGGGCTTCTGAGATCCTCAAGATGCCCTCCCGATCCACCCTGCCATCGCCATCGTCATCGTAGAGTTCGAAGAAATAGCTGATGTTGGACATGATGTCTTTGGTACCCTTGACATGCGCAAACCCAGTGACAACGTTCTGCAGCGATAACGAGTCGGTCATGTCTACATCCCAGCGTCGGAACAAGCGTCGCATAAACTCATGGTCTGCTGGCTCTGGCCCTGATCCCCATGGGGACATTGGTGGTCGTTTTCTCAAGCTGTTTCCAAAGTACGAGTGAGGAGACTGGGTACCACTACTTTCCGGTGGGGAGCTCGGCGAATCAGTAATTGCCCACTTCGCGATACCTGAGTCACGGTCAGTAAACACGCAGGTTAATGATATTTCAAACTTACCAGCGAGGAATTCCCTAAAGGCATCGTAATCCATTTGTGTAGGGCTAGGTCCGAGTGCCACACGGCCCTTCTCCGCACTTCCAGATATACCAGTCACAACCTCTGTCGCCTTCATCCTACTCGCCTTTGCCTTGCGATCGGCCTCTTGTTGCATGATCTCTGCTCTTTGTTGTCGTTCGTACAGCACGGCATAGAATTTGTCGTACAGGAACCCGAGGTCATTCACACTCAGCTTCTTGCTATCGGGACCGAGATTACGTATCGACGTGCGCTTAGCGAAACTTTCGATGTTCTCAAGCACGGCATCCTTGTGCTTTGCTCGCTGTTCAGAGATGGTGTTTTGGGTAATGCCAGCAAACTCCTTAAATGCTACTACCATGAGCTCTTGGAAGCGAGTCACAGCTCGCAGTTTAGGATTCTCTGACTTGGGGTGGGCGGACTCATCGAGTCTTGAGAAGTACGACTTCAAGACTGAAATGAAGGAGCCATCGTCTGCAGCATCGAGCAGCTCCTCGCCATTGATGCGCAGGATGGCCAGGCCGATTTGGAAGAGAACTTTTGGGCCTTCGAGGAAGAAAACATCAAGAACGCGGAAAGCAAAGATTAGAGGCATAGAGTTGATATAGAGCGAAAGAAACCAGGGTAATGAGACAACGGACAACTGTACGTCTGATTTGACCAGATGGTCCCATAGTATGGGCATAGTCTTCTCAACCAGCGATTCGAAGACCTTCTGGTCCAGCAAGGTGCCGTACATGGTTTGCGAGTAGTAGCCGGGCAGGAGACGGTCACACAGCACGGAAAGGAGGAAAAAGGCCTGCGATTCGGACATGTAACTTGGTCTGTTAGGTGGGAGAAGCTGCGCATCAAGGGGTACACATACATGAGCAATGCTGCGACCACAATATTCATCGCCTGGCAATAACCAACCTCCTCATTTGTCCAGCTGTATGCCGTCAACACTCGTCGGAGCCGACCAATACCCTCTTCGCTCTGGAAACCCGGGTATTCTGGCAGACTTCTGTTGAGATCCTTTTCAATCTCGTCGATGGCTAACGACTCCCGCCCGGAGAACTTCTGTAGGGTCTCGGTATAGAGGTTTGGGTTCTGTAGGCGCAAGAAGAAGGCACCGGACGTGAGCTCCCACATCTCGCCTCGCAATCGATTCGGCAGACCGACACGGATGAGCTTATGGAAAGTGGGTTGTCGGATGAGGGTCGCGCTTCGTCCGTTGTCTACTACATGTCAGCGATGTCACTGCGCGGGCTGAGCGGATATACCTCTGAGATACTCGCGCCACAGCCGTATCTTTGTCGCGTCCCTGAGTTTCCGCGCGTTGCCTGGGTACTTGAAGATCATGCCTAGGCCGGTATCTGGATGCTCTCGCGCTTGCTTGCCATCCTCCCCGGCCTTCTTCTCCTCGGCGTCTGTGAGAAGATACTCGGAGTAGCATTGCCCCACAACCTTGCGCAGGTTATCCACTTCCTTGACTCCCTCCCGCAGCCCTTTCTTCAGAGCATCGCAGAAGCGCTCGCATGCCTGTCGCGACCCCGCGAGTTGGATCGTAAGCTTCTGGCCAGCAGGCGCCTGCGACTTTGAGTCTGGTATGCCGTTCCACGTCGTGATGGCGAGCGCGAACATGTAACTCTGGCTATGCAGTCTTTCTACCCGTCGTATGCCGCATAGTGGTAATGTGAAACCGTTGCCCGCAGGTCCCGCCCCATGAGTCTGCCCCGTGAAGCTGCTGGAAGAGCTCAGGCTCGCGGTATTGGCAAAGCTCGAGCCCTGTGTAGAGAAGCAGAGATACTGCTCGCTGAGGTGCAGCTTGCCCACATAGTGGTTGCCCTGGCTGCGCTCCTTCTCAGATGTGACGTCGCCGGGGCCCCTCGTGGAATGGTGGGGTTGAAGCGTGAGCTCAGCGGTGATCTCCTGGAGGGGATTCTGCGAGTCGGGGAGCCGGAACTGGTAGCGGAAGAGAGTGGCTTTTGAGGGTCGGCGGTCTGTCGATGCGGGAGCGGCTATGGTATTGAGCGTGGGTTCGATGTACTGCTGGGCCTTCTGCACCAAATTTGAGATGTTGAACATGGCTTCGGGCCGGCCAAGGAGACAAAGCGATTGTCAGTTATACTGTAGTATGTCACTATTCATGCCACATGGCGCGACAAATAGAGCCCTTGGGAAGCGGCTTGAGAGAGACTGGAGCTTTATGCAGGGCCGTCGTTGGCGGAGTTGTCGCACATGCGCCACAGCGCACGGCCACAAGAGCTGAAATGTGGACATGACTAAGACGCGATGCACCAAGTCTGTCTGAGACAATGCCACTTCCCAATCCTGCTTCCTGACCAAGACATGGAAGTTCACCTAGGCACGCGCAGGCATGGAGCGCATCATGTCAACGGTTGATTAATTGAAGATGATGTGGATAGCTATTAGAGCTAGCGTATCGCCTTGAGTCGCCAGACCGACCACAAATTATCGCCCCAGATAGAGAGCATATCTGTTACATGACTATCTTACATCTGTTCAACCTCCCACCCCGCTTCACTTCACTCCCCACCAAGTACATCAAGCTCTGGCTTATGTGCATGTGTAAGCTCCGTCGACTCGGAGATCGGCACCCTGTGTCTGGTCAGCTTTTGCTCATTAGCCTGTCTGGAGATCACTTACAGTGACGTAGGAACTCGCGTCACTAGACAAGAAAGTGACAGCTCCCATCAGATCCTCGGGACGTCCCATCTTACCAACGGGGATCAGAGAAGTCCACTGCTTCTGGAGATCCGGGTTGTCGTCGAGAATCTTCTTGGTCCTACATGGTAATCAGCGACCACACGTTCATCGCCTATTGATTTACTTACAGCGCAGTGAGCATGTATCCAGGCGAGATGCAGTTGACGCGAATGCCAGCACCAGCCCATTCAACCGCCAGACTGGATGCTAGATGTCGGACAGCTGCTTTGGCGGCGTTGTATGGAGCCTGTGGTTGCGGAACGTTGACTATGGCTCCCGACATGCTGCCGATCATGACAATGCTTCCCGGTGCCTTCCTCTCCATGAGATGCTTCGCGACAGCGACAGAGTACAGGTAGGTACCGTCGACATTGACTCCCCAAAGCTTCTGTATGCGGTCATGAGGGTAAGAGATGGCGTCGTAGTTCTCGGTGAAGCCAGCCGATGTAACAAGGTTATCAACCTTGCCGTGCTTCTTCAGAATCTCAGCAAAGGATTGGTTGACAGACGTAGGACTCGAGACATCGCAGAAATGTGCTGTAACCTTGGGGACTCTGTATCTCGGGTTAGTCCAAGCCGAGTAGTTGCACACAATGCTCTCACCTCCTGGATCCAGGATTCTCCTTCTTGAAGATATCGAGGAGACCCTTCGCTGACCGCTCACCCTCTTCCTTGTTCATGTCGACAATGGCTACATCGGCTCCGGAGGTCACCAACGCCTGCGCCATGACCAAACCGAGACCTCGAGCTCCGCCGGTGACGACGGCTACCTTGCCTTCCATGGAGAAGGAGGCCAGGGTGCGCTTGAAATGCTCTCCTCCTCGGCCCACGACGGGATTTGAAGGTGGCAGGTCCTTTTCTTCCGGGTATTCTACGACAATGTCGTCTCGGGTTCGAGCATACTGACCCTCGTGGTCTCCACTCTCACCAGGCTCACCCGATGTTGTTGCCGCATCGACCTCATCGTTGTTGGGGTCTTTGTCGAAGCGGCTAGGCGATGAAGTGAAGTGTCGCAGCGAGGAAATGGCTGGCTGTGCTGGTCGGAACGCTGAACGGGGAGCTTGGGCTCGGGCCGCGCGAGCGACTTGACGGAAAACTTGAGACCTGAACATGGCTGTAGTAGAGTGCTCAAATCAATTGAGTGCAGCAAGGGCTGTGGGAAGGCTCTGAACTAAGAGGGTGACTGTAAACGTCAAGTGGGGATGAATATCTATGGTGATTCTAGAAGGCTCTCGGGTCAATGTGAGGGGAGCTTGAATCTCAAGGCACCGTGAAGACGTAAGAAGTGTGAAGTGGGCAAGAGAAAAGACGGATCAAATGCAGACGTCAGAAGAAAAGCTCACGATGCCCAAGCAGCTCCCAATTATTTCGGTCCTTCCAAGAGCTCGAGCTGTCCCCCACCGCGTTTTGTTGACTGACGAAACGCCTCTGACGACAGCTGTATGCAGGGTAAGGGTTTGGCGAGCTCATCCCGCATGTACTCCCACCTCCGCACACTGCATCCTGGGCTTCTGGCCTGTCCTCTACCAGCGTCTCCATATAAATCACACACCGTCGCTGTTGGCACTCCACCTCCAGAGCTACAGTGGAGCCGCCCTAACCGTTTCTCCTCTCCGCACTACACATGGCTGGGGGAAGCTCCAGCAAATCCTGACCGCCTGCTGCCCCACGCTGCAGCCATTCCACTCACCTGGCACAGGACGCGCCTACTCCACGACGCGCAACATTTAGATATTATCAATATCACCGCTCGCCCTGTTGGTACCTTCCAAGATCTCGTCTAAACTCTGCATGGTGATCGCCCTCAACAAGCCGTAATTGTGCTGACCGACGCGCATCCAGCAACGCGGCACCATCGTGACCCGTCATGTTCGAGCTGTACCTCCTCACCTTCAATGCTGCCCGGAACCTGGTCGACCCGCAGTCTCTCGCGCCTTCCTTGTTCGATGCTCTTCCTAAAGACACCCCTCTGCCTGACATCGTCGCCATCTCGCTGCAGGAAATCGCACCCATCGCCTACTCGTTCCTCGGAGGATCTTATCTGAAGCCTTACTTTGACCGCGTGACGACCACTGTCCAGCTTGCCGCAGACCTCCGCAGCAATGGCAGCGAACCGCTCCAACACATTGCGACGCGCAGCCTGGGCATGACCGCCCTGATGCTCTTCGCGAAACCCCACGTCACACAGAGGATACAATGGATACAATCGGCAGGCGCCGGTGTCGGCTTCTCCAACATGGGAAACAAGGGCGCAGTAGCCATGCGCGTTGGCCTGTCCTGCCCAGGCTCCGATGACACGCTGGATCTGACTTTCGCCGCTGCTCATCTCGCGCCTATGGAGAGCAATGTGGATGCAAGGAACAAAGACTGGGAAAATCTGGTCCGGAACTTGGTCTTCGTCAACAGCGACGACTCCCCATACAGTTCGAGCGAAGAGAGGCCGCTGCTTGACTCCTCGTCCGAGACCCCAGCCGACCACAACGGCCTCTTCACACCTGGCAACCACGTCTTCTTCTACGGAGATCTCAACTACCGCACGCACGATACCCCGCCAGATGAAGGAGCGCATGAATCCTATCCTCAGCCCACCGCGTCCGAGTCTTCGCCACAGCATTACTCGCAATTGCTGAAGAAAGACCAGCTGATGAGAGAGAAGGACGCCAAACGCACGCTACATGGTTTCCAGGAACTGCCTATCGATTTCCCACCTACATACAAGTACGCCACTCCACACGGCAAGAATACAGGAGACAATGATTCGTGGGAATGGTCCAAGCACCGATATCCCTCGTGGTGTGATCGTATTCTCTATCTTCCGTCTGGATCTGCATCAGACCTAGAACCCCAGATTTACACTGCTTTACCGGTACAGCCGACATCGGATCATCGACCGGTAGCTCTCTCGGTTCGCGTTGACGAGAAGCCTATCAAGCTGGACGTGAATGATGTTCTGTCCCGGCCACCCTTCGAGATCAACCCACAGTGGAAAGCCAGAAGGGACGCCGCTCGACGATGGGAGCTTATTGTAGGCGTCATGTCCTATCTCGCCCTGACCGGGAAGGGCCGAATCATTCTCATCACTTTCGTGGGTGTGGCTATGGGCAGTTTGTTCCTAGCTGGGTCACTAACCAGGTGATCTTGGCGACAGCCCAAGTCACATAGCTCCTGCTACAATTGATTCATTCCTATCCCGTAGTGGTTCCAGCTCCAATTCCACTGCTCTTTGAGATGCTTAATCGACGCTCCCGCCGGCATGCCTGTGGCTTGCACCTCTTCTAGAAATTCGATCATCTCGCATCGAACTTGCTCATCCTGCAGTACGGTGCCAAACTTGTGTATTGTATAAGCGGCTTTCCATTGCGTAGAAATACAGTGCGTATTGCACCGAGCAATAGCTATCATTTCTCTCAACCCTCTCAGCACTTCATCGTGTGCAGAATCTGCGATGATTATCCCACGTGCGTCTTGCGTGTTTATCCTAGGGTTATTGACTGCAAGTGCGATGCGGCATATCCGCAGGTGTTGGTTCGCATCCGCTGTAGGCACGTCAGCAAGCAATTCGCAGGCTAGTGATTACTTTGACTCACCGTGACAAGCACTCGAGAACCACAGTTGCGGGGGGGTTCCCGCGGCGTGCAAGTTTTCTTCTTGGTAGAAGAAGGCATCAAAACTGGCGGGACGTCTCCGTTCCCACTCGTCAACCAGACTGTGAAGATAGAGCCAATTGTCCATTGTGCGCATGCCTTTCTGCGCCCACTGCAGGATGCGCGCACTCAGCCATAATATACGATTGCTCCATGAGGCTTCATCAACCGGTGAGGCCAGCGCTGGTAGAATGAACGACTCATAGTCGATACGCAGACTTGGTTGATTGAGTAATGCTTGGCTAACCTCAGCATGCACATGTAGCACTAGAGCAGCCTGTACCACAGGACTAGCCATGTCGAAAACCCAGCCTTCAGGGCCATAGAAGAGCTCAAATGTGGAGAGGTGTGTCTGCCCCTGTGTACCGGCTAGTTGACTGTCAGCAGAATAACACATATTCTGGCTCATGTTGACATACAGTGAAAATCTTCAAAATTCCGCAATAGCATCGCAGCCACCAAAGTCGCTTCGTCTTCTATCCTTCCCTTTTCTGCGAGGTGCGGTATGAGGCTCTGCAGTATTCTTTCGTGGTACTCATACGGTCTAGTAGGGAAATACGGATCGAAGCGCAGAATACACTGCCCGGATATCATGAAGATGGCGTTCATGAGCATTGGACTCGTCAGTGCAAGTTTCGGGACAACTTTCTTAAAGATGCTTGTAGAACTAGTTATGTCTAGCGATTCTGCTGCTTTATCAACCCAGTATCGGAATAGATACGCTTCAGTGGGGTCAGTTATCGGCCATGCTACTAGTGAACTTTGGCTTGCGGCAATATTCGGATTTGGCGACGGGAGATCAGAATGCCAAGTCTCTAGCAGGGACTCGTCCAGGCTGGAGAGACTTGATACTGAGCCAGGTGCTGGGCTTGTATGTCGCCAGACATGCAATGGAAGCTGCCATGAGCTGTGTATGCTTTGCGGTGCTGCAGGTACGAGCGATCGACCAGACCAGGCTCCACTCGTCGGACGCGTGCGTTGGTCCCTCGCCCTCGGGGCTTTTCCTGTTTCCAACTGTGGAATCTTCTTAGCTGACCTCGAGCGAGCCATATGTTTCGGTGCCCTCCTCCTATCGGCGCTTCCAGGGTTCTCAAACTCTTCAGCAACAAGTGACGATTCGTCCACGAAATCATCTGCAGGAAATTCGTTAACATGGTCCACTCGATATCACTTTTCCCTGTACGTACAGTTTGCCGGCGTACCAACCCACTTCTGCCCTGCACCGAAGAAGTAGTCGTACTTCTTGATGTCTGCTCTAGTAGCTTGACTTTCCAAATCAGGAAACACGCCATGTCGAAAGCGTACTTTGTAGTTGGGTCTCCTTGGTGGGGCGGGATCTGACCAAGACGACGACATGCTTTAGAAGAAAGAGCTTATACACAACAAATCGAAGCTTGTATGTCTTGGCACCAACGACGGCAAGTAGGTATCATGCGATCGTGCTCAGAAGAACAAGTCGACCTATCTCGGCAAGTTCCTCTAAGTCTGATGTGGAAAGAAGAAAGCAAGAAGCAAGTAGGAAGAAAGCGGACGCTGTTTCGTATCAACAAACAGGAAAGTCCGCCGCTTCAAATGGGGATATGTACTCCATGTCACAGCACTATGATGCGGGGTGTGGGAGACACACATGCACGTCGTCTGCTTTGATGACCGTTTCGCTACATCCGGTTCATCGGCGCTATTTGCTCTTCTCATCATTCTTCCCGAGATTATTCAGCGCAATAGCGGTATGATGGGCGTGAGTGACAGCGAGGCTTGTATGTGCTTGTGCTACAGCCTGTCTATGTTCGAGGCATTTGGTAAGCGGGATTTATTTACGTACGCTATTCGTAGTGAAATTTGAGATGCGCATAGGAACATGTGGTTATGCTAACACAGGGTTGTATACGAGGTGGCTGAACCGTGGGTTAGTGGATAGCACGAAATGCATGCCCGTTCGAGGTAGGTGAGGCAGCAGATAGGATGAAATGGCTATGGAAAAATATTGTGGCTGGCTGGTAGACCGACTCAGCCTTGGCTAGCCACTGTGTTGATTGGATATGGTACTAGGATCGTGGGTAAAGACATGCATTATCCTCTCATCCCATCTTCCTCAACAACACACACCATTGCACTGCTATCCGCTCTAACACCACCATCCACTACCGCTGATTTGCTCGACCAACCAAGCTTTTCTCACACGGGTAGGGCTGCATGCACCTCGAGCCTCCTCCTCCTTCTAGAAACAATCGTCCACGCACCACAAGACAGTGTCGAGTAAGCAACGTCGCTATCCAGCTATTGGTTTGTCGGACCGTGTGACTGCATAGCCTGCTCATCAGCCCGTCATGTATACCCTTTTCAGCTCGACTGCGCTACTGTCGCGCTGCCACGTGACGTCGTCTCTCGCACGGATAACGGTCTCGGTAGTTTTCGACGGCCATTCTGCTTTTGTCAGCATAGGTATTTTCGGGGAGTCACAAGTCAGAAATAGACGGGTGTTTGTAGGCGTGCGGAGGTGTGACTAAGGTAGTTTGTACTACGTTGCGCTCTCCTTCTATAGGTGACTTTGGGCGTGTTGGAGTTGATTACGCAGCAGTCTTCACCGAGAGTCAGCCGGGTTTGTTGCGCATAAAAAGGGAGGGTGCAATGGATAGCGATCAGTCATCTCATATTGCCAGTCATGCGCCTGTTGGTATGCAGCATACTGCGTCTATACAGTAGCATCTTCTCTTACTTTCAGACAAAGAACGCATACAGGACGATACTCACCGCACGTGACTGGATTGAGCAGAACCTTGGAAGGAGCCTCGGCAAGATCCAGGCTGCATATCGACTCGCCGTTCCAGACTGTTCACGATGGTGGAGACCTGGAGAGCTTTTCCGATGGAATGACGTAGGTAAATAAGCGTCTTCCGTTCCCGCAAAGCCACGTCTCGCGCTTTTTCTCGCTAGCTACTCACCGTTTTTTATGGACCCTCTCGTCGATGACACTAACCAAGGCCGCTCGCTAGCTATCATGACTGCCGGTAGTGGAAGTCCGAGTGGCTGGTCATCGACTCGATAGGCTGTTCTTAGCGAGAGCAAAAGAAAGTACAGGCAGAAGTGGTGGAGTTGTTGTACTCGCAGTACTAAATTGGGCGCAAAGGATTCGCTGATCGACATAATAGCCTTGACAACAATAACGCAGCTTTGACATGGGCGTCAGGTTTGGCGAGCAGTCAATGTTAGGGCTCGGCTGTGTTGCAGTGAAGTTGCATATTGGGTTTCAAGAGCCGTCATTGACTCCATGCAGCACTATTGAGGGTGGTGTAACCGCAGCAACGTGCATGCATCTATCGACGCAGCTGCAACACCTCAGGTGCTGTGGTGCGCAGTATTCGGAGAAACAATGGGCACAAGTGCATGGACCACAGGCATGGGAATGCAAGAATGCCATTCAACAGCAAGGCCTGTAAGGCTCTATTGGCCTCGGCACTGCTTTCCCGTCACCTGATAATATTCATCCGCTGTGTGAGGTTGGCCTCCGCGGCACTATGTCGGATCATCAAAGTTTAATCGAGCAAAAAACATCATAACACCGAAAGAAAAAAGAGCTACAACCTCGTCCCGCTATCGCGACCACAAAGGGAGTGCCCACTTCATTCGGAGTTGAAACGCAACACCTGCCACACGTCTGCCAACCACACGTCTGCCAACCACAAGTAAGGAGGACATGCACCACTGACGTCACAGTGCAGCGGTCGCCAACGTCGCGCTGCACCATATGCCTCGAACCCCAATTCGCCCGCTCACCCCAGGCAGCCGATCCCCAGCACAACGCTCGATCGATACCAACTTTGAGACCCTAACCGTGCGCTCGGGGTCTGGACTCCTCGGAAGGTGGGTTTTTATCCTGCGCTCTTAGCCACGGAACATCACGGACGTTTTTGTTATAGAGGCTATTGGGAATAAGGAAATAGATGTGCGTTTGGTACGGTAATATGGATCCGTGATTGCCGTGAAAGGAGGCAGTAGCCGCTTTGAAAGCTTGACCATGTGGTTACGGATTCAGAATGATCATGAGCACTGGGCGGGTGGATGAGGGGAGTTCTAGACACTATTGTGGGGCTGGGAAGAGTCTTGTCTTACGTATCGCTGCATTCGTGATGTGTGCCGTGAAAGGAGTTTGCGCATCAGTGGAAACACCGAAGTAGTCACGAGATGATGCAAGGTGAAATGCAAGTGAGGTAATGTGTTTCTTTGTTGTGGTGGTTGGAGTTGGTTAAGTCCTCCGAGGGAAACTATGCCTAGCGCCATGCGTCGTAGGTGCATCCTCCTGTCTACTGCCCTGCCAAACGCCTGCAGTGGTCCTTGGTAGAATAATGAAATGGAAGAAGGGAAAAAACTGGTATATCATACAACAGAAAAGAAAGATAACGCTCCATGTAAATGCTTAACCCGTGTGCTCCAATACTATCCCTAATCGCAAAGCCGAAGTCGAAGAGTGTTTCCGGCACACTGTGTCGCTAAGTCGCTGATGCGGGAATGATTTCGTTTAATGTCATGATGGTGTGCGTTCAGACGATGAACGCCAAGTGCTCGCCGGCTATTGCGCTCTTTGCGATGATGAGGATGAGTTGAGCTGGGAGAGCGATGCGAAGGAGTTGGTCATTGCCGAGTAGGCAGCCGATGGCAGGCCGTTGGTTGATGATGTGGATGAAGCGCTGTTGCTGCGGACTTGTAGGTTGAGTGTGTGGCAGCTATCGCATCGTCCGTTCATAGCGTTGCAGCGGCCCCTGCATCCTCGCTCGTAGTTGGCGCAAGAGAACATTGTGGCTTTGAGTGTCGGAGATGTGCCGAGTGTTTGTGGTGATGGTGTTGAGTAGTGTGTGGTGATGTCTTTGAGTAGTGTGTAGTGGTGTGCGAGTGACTTTGTAGCGTGCTGGACTTAGGCAAGTCTTGAAGCCGCGGGTGGACTTCGTAATATATGCGCCGAAGGGTGATGAATGCCCGATGATGTAGCCAGCAAATTCAAGATATGCAGGGCAATAATTGCGTATTTGGGCGTTAGAGTAGCCGTAATCGATGGTGTCCGTTGGCGTGTCTTGGTAGCGTGCGGATGGGTCCAATAATAGTGTGGAGTGCCAAATGGAGTTAATGTGAAGATGCCCAAGTTCTGCAGTTGCACGGTGGGTGGCTTGCTTATAGCTGTGAAGAGCAGATTAAGAATTGCGGGTGCGTTTCATAGACTTGGAAAAGATAGGTGGAAGATCAGGTGTGACGATGGCAGCCGCAACTCTTATGACAGTTGACGCGTCCAGAAGATGTGTGTGTCATGGCAGATTATACAGTGGAGAGGCCCGAGGCCAGAATGTCCGTGGCCAGTGCGTTCTTACTCAATGTCAAGGGTCTCCTCTTACGCATGCTCGAGACCCTTTCCTGGTTGTTCATCACGCCGGCCTAGCGTCCAAACCTTGTTTTTGGCTTCCCGTCAATTCCGGCATTTGGCTGTAGCCTGCATACCTCCTCCTACGCACTCGGTGACGCTCAGCCACCACGGCTACTATTCCCAGCGGCCGCCAGCAAGTTGGCTGCATCACGCAGACTACGTACGAGCGTGCGATTCAGCACCCAAACGGCCATGTTGTCTTTACAAGGACAGGGACGGCAAACCTCGTTTCAAACAAATTCTGGAAGGCGGCTTAAAGTGGGCGGCATCTCGGACATCAGGCGAAGAATTGCACGGCCACTTCATCCGTGCACTCGTCAGCACCCAAGAAAGCCACTCGCGAAAGCCCACACATGTCGTTAGCTTGACACAATTCAGCCCTCTACGATTACGTGGTGCTGCAGTTGTACCCTACGTGAGGCAGTAATCATGGCGCATGTGTGCCATGTGGTCCCTCCGCTGCTGCCTCAGAACATGATAAGCCGGTCAGTCAGACACGGCTCCGGAAACATGTGCGTGCGGTGCGGGTTTACGGGCTTAAGCTTGCGACACCGATAAGATAGCGTACCTGGTATCAGAAGACGGCTGGAGTGGAGTACGGAGTCCGCGTTCGAGACTTTTTGCTTTTATGATGATCTGCGCCCAAACGCACGCAAGTCGAAATCGCCTCACGGTCAAAGATTTCTCCATCACGACATCTGGCCTGATTGTGGAGGATGCAAATTGCTGTAATCGCGAAATCGGTGGAAGCTTCGACTCTAAACGAGAATGCGAGTGGTTCGCAGTAGCTCGTCCGAAACGCCTGATCTGCAACGGTTTATTAAAGCGTCCGGTCCATCCGCACCCACCAAGCGTAGTCGGGACTCAACAACTTTGCCTACGGATTAACTCTGTACCCCGAATTTCGCCCTTTCAGCCTTGTGGAGGCCAGTGGGCTGGATGATCATCTTGCAGATCCATCGCTTATCGTATTGAAGAGCCCAGAAGCCGATTGTGCTCAACGACATTATGAAACATGTGAATAGTGTGGGTGACTCACAGCACATGTGCTGGTGCATTGTTGTACGCAGAGCCACGTACTTTGTTCACCGGAAGGTGCTGCAATGCCATGGTCCAGGGTTACATCTCGTCACGTTCTTGTCCCATGAATTTACGTTACAACAGTGCCTTGAGCTAATCACGCTTTCAGAAGTACTTGCTTCGCTGTAACGAAAACTTGATCTGCAAGTAGCGTGCGGTCGCATGGTAAGTACGTGGAAAAGAAAGGGTTGCCAGATCCACTTGCATATCGATAGCTGGTACTTCTGATGGAAACTAACAACTTCCCACGTGGCGTTTTTGATTGGAGTACCTGTGGTTAAAGAATAGCCTCGTTGTTTCAAGCGAGACTGTCGTACCTTGCTTTTCGCAAACCGACATCTTTAAAGGCAGAAGGGGTTCCAGGAAACAAACGACTCCATTTGTATTCTCCACTGCCCGCTACGATCTAGGTATCGAACGAAATGACCACACCTAATGCCACAGTCCGAGCCCTCGCCCCTCCCCCCTTTCTGAAGTTACTTCTGAAGCTACCATGGGAGCTCAGAAAAAACATCTATTATCGGGCGATGCGTCCAGAAGACCTCATTTCCCAGTGTCAGCCTCTAAACCTTAGCGCAGCAGATTTTCGACATAGTGGCAACCCATTATGCTTGGAGTGGCTCGAAGAGTTCTGTCGCACAGATGAAGCCACCCGTATCGACGTTTCCTCTGTTCTACTACAGACAACCAGGCTGTGTCTTTTCAGCCCTGTGGAAGTGGAGCGGTTTAGCTTGTTTCTAGAAAGCTTTCCTAAAGCTGACAACCAAGGCTTTGCTGCAGTTCGTGATCTCAACTTCCAGCTCTTCGGTTGCCACCGACCCAGTGCTGGGAACGACAACGTATACATTGAATTCATGAAGCGATGTACAGAACTAAGACAGGTCCAGCTAAAGTTCGAAGTTGAATATATGACCATAGACTCGTGTACATGGGCCGAAAACCTGAAACAGCCGCCAACAACACTATGGTCTTTTGATCAGACGCGCATCAGGAGACTGGAGGACATCATTTCGATGTATCGGTTGACAGAAGTTCTGAAGCTAGAGAAGTTGAACAGACTAACAGTTAAAGCCTGGCCTAGGATTAGAGTGAGTGATCGACAGGCTATGCAGGACGTTCTGGTCGATTGCACGCCGTTGATCGAGAGTTTGGTGCAGTGGCTTGAAAGGGGCTTCGCGGCCCAGGACAAAACCGTTGCTGTTAGTTACGTGGAAGCTAGCAGTCCAGGTTTAAGATGGAGTAGGCGCATGTGAAGAATGTAGCTATTGAAGCTCTTGACCCAAGTTTGACAGGTCAAATTAAAACATGCCATCGGTGGGCACGCCGTAATTCAATTTATGCCGTATACAGTCTCTCGAATTTTCTGAAAGCTGATTCCGCTATTCTTGCTCTTTCTGGGTGTCGTTGCATATCAGACGTGTCGCAGAGTGAAAGCGTAGTATGACGTGGAAGATGAAGATGGCTGGTCTCCAGACTAGTTGACACGACCAATGACTAAGCGGCGCCGCTGGCTCGTTTGCCGTCTAATCCCAGCCAGCCCTTACCAGCCTCATTTATCCTACCACGACCGAGCGCATTCGCAACACCATCGTCGCTCAACCATTTTTGACCATTATCGCCATTGCTGCATCCGCGCGCATTCTGGGGACCCACTTTTGACATTGCCGGCGCGCTCTCCCCGCCACGCGCATCGACTTGTTCGCGACGCGTCGACGTAAACAACAGCGCGACTCCTCCATCACCCCACCCACCAACTGATCGACTCAACCACGACCATGTTTCTTCCAGAGGATCTCCTCTTCAAGCAGGGTGCCCTTGCGCACGTCTGGCTTGCCTCGAACCAGCAGAAGAAGCTTACCAAGGCCCAAGTGCTGCAGCACAAGATCCCAGAGAGTTGCGAGGTCATCATCCGGCCAGAGGTGGCTGCTGGCGGTCCACTTGCGTTGCGGTTGAACGCGCAGCTGCTTCTTGGTGAAGTGCGCATCTACAGCAAGAAGGCGACCTACCTCCAGGATGACTGTCAGGAAGCCTTGTGGAAGATCAAGATGGTAAGTTCCAGCTTTGCTTGCGTGGCATGACCACTTCTGACCTGCATACAGGCCTTCCGTCCTGGAAACATCGACATGCCCTCTCAGACTCATGTCGCCAACCCCACCAACCTGATACTGCCAGACCAAATCACCGATCTGGATTTGTTGGCTCCCATGCCCGACCCATCATTCCTTCTATCGCAGCCGCTTGGTGGCAACCTCGATCTTGGCAACACCACAGCCCCCGATTGGGACAACAGCCAGTTCCTGTCCGGCAGCATTGAGCAGGCGCGCATGGAGCCAATGGAGCTCCCGGACGATGATCTGAACCTGGACATTGGGGAGGACGATGGCTTGGAGCCAACAGTAGCCTACGACGAGGGCACCAGCATTGAAGTCGGCCGTAACGCACCTTTGGAACGACGCCGCTCTGAGGAGTTTACCGGGCTGGGCAAGGATCTGATTGTGGATGACGATGATCTTGGTATAGATATTGGCGAAGACCCTCCAACTGAACTCGCGCGCGGCCCGGAATTCAATCTGGACGACGACTTGGACATCACCATGGGTGGTATGGATACACCACTTCCAGCAGGCACCTCCATTGCCGGCGACTTCCCTGTGCGACAGCGCGACGAATCACCCCTATCCGAATTGGGAGAAGAAGAGGCTACACGCCTTGAGCAAGAGGTCGCTGAGCAGAATACTACGATATTCGAGCCCGAGCCCGAGCAAGAAGAAGAAGAGTCTATCCATCAAGCCCGTGCCAAGCGCAGGAGAGTGATTGGAGCCGATGCTGAAACCATGATCTCAAGTCATCAGCTGAGGGAGCAGCAGAACAACCGCGAGAAGATCCTCAAGCCTGCTTCGTTCCTGCCTCGCGACCCTCTTCTGATGGCCTTGCTTAACATGCAGAAGTCTGGAGGGTTTGTCTCAAGCATTCTGGGTGATGGCCGAAGTCAAGGCTGGGCTCCAGAGCTTCGAGGAATTCTCTCCCTAGAAGTCATTTCACGTCCAGCTCAGAAGCGCAAGCGTGACGGTGCGAACATCGAAAGTAGTGCCACGGAAGATGAGGCAGCAGCCGAAGGAGAGAAGACCCCTCAACTCCAGCTAGAGTTTGAGCAAGATGAGCCAACTTTGGGCGGCGGGGACATTGGCATCGGCGGAGACAACGACCCTACGCTTGGAGGATCCGATGACGTTGTTCAACTTCCCGATGACCCCGGCTTCCAGCAGATTGGTGACGAGGAGGACGTCTTCTCGCCTGTTCCAGACAACTTTGACGACACAACTGCGCCGCTAGTCCACCCCGATGAAGCCGGACCAGTATCGTTAGGCACCAAACACGCCGTCCATTTCTTGCGGGAACAATTTGGACCGGAAGCTGAAGAGAGCGAGTCGGAACGACAGAAGAACAGCATCGTTTTCCAGGACGTCTTCCCAGAGGCCCGCACATCACGAACAGACGCGACCAAGATGTTCTTTGAGATGTTGGTACTGGCAACCAAGGACGCCATCAAGGTTGAGCAGCCAGCCAACGAGCTTGGTGGCCCTCTACGTATTCGCGCCAAGCGTGGTCTCTGGGGACAGTGGGCAGAGACCGGTGCCAGTGGAGAGTTGGCATCCCAGGCTCAAGCCGCGCCTACAGGGGATCCCGATGCGCCTGCTGAGGCCATCTTCCAAGGACCACCTGAGGTTTCCGTGTCCGCGTAAAAGTTGAACAATCTGTTCGCTTGGCAGAATTTCTTTGGGACTAGGTACTGTCTGGCGGTGTTGGCTGGATACCCTTCTTTTGGCATGACTTGGATTGTAGGCGGCTGCTTTGGACGGTGTTTGGCGTTGGTATGGGAAATGGTGTTTTTGGGAAGTTGGTCCCTTGTATCATGGTATCAGGATAGCCACATTAGCTTTGGAAGACGGAATGTACTCAGTATTATCATCACAGACTCTGAAATCTTGCTTGGCCACAGCTGTTACAAGTAGAGCCTAACGTTGACACAGCATGTACATTTGTAATGATGCATCGATCCAATAAGGCTCTCGCCCCACGGTAGGTGCCGGCCCGCGGGATCTCGGCAACTGCGCGGCTTCGCGGACTTGATTTTGCACTCCCGTCAGAATACCCGTCAACATCCACATCGTGCTGGCCGTTATGAGTGCGGACGAAACAAACGGACACGTGACGGCGACGGGTCGTAGACGCAGAAGAGCTGCTGAGGCGTGCACCTTTTGCCGTCGGAGGAAGGTTTGTTGGTGCTTGGGTACGATCAGGAGCTGGATACTGATGCTAGCAGATCAAATGTAGTGCTGAGAAGCCAACATGCGCAAGCTGTAAAACTCATGGGACGATATGTCAGTACGAACCTGCAAGTATAGATGCCGTTCAGCATGCCGCTAGTCGTCCACGCAAGACACCTCGAACAGAGAGAGCACCAGAGCCAGCCCAAGAAATTGCACCTAGAGATGTGTCGCGCATTGTCGTCGCTTCTAATGGCTCTTCAAGTTATCACGGGCGCACCAGCACTTTGTTCGACGAAGCCTCGCATGACCGTGTTGCTACTGAAGCTCGTCCGCACATGCCAGATGAATGGATTGAGAGAGGTCTTGTGGCTGAAGCCGCACGTCAGAGACAATTGGAGACTGTTAATTTCCGACATGGAAAGCTCGAGTTCGATGGTGTCGAGCCTGAACTTGGCATGCATTTGCTTTCATTACACTGGAACCGGCAACATCACTCATTCCTCACAACGTATCGTCCTGCCTTCATGCGTGACATGGCTTGTGGTGGCCCATATTTCTCGAAGCTGCTTCTCAACGCGATCTACTTCGGTGCCTCCAAGTTCAGTCCACGCCGTGAAGTTCGTCGCGTGGCTGATGATGTCCGCACTGCCGGTTGGCAGTTTCGTCAAAGAGTACTGGAGCTTCTAGGAGGTGCTCTGGACAAGAGTGAGATCACTACTATTCAAGCTTTACTCGTCATGACCAATTCTCTCTTCGCCCTCGGCGACGAACGCAGTGCTGCCTGGCTCTATGCTGGGTTAGCATTTCGCATGATCGTCGACCTCGGTATTCACGTTGACACACCTGCCTTTGCAGGTTCTCGTAGACTGTCTGATGAGGATCGTGAAATTAGGCGTCGTGTCTTTTGGGCTGCATTTGGTGAGCCCAGTTTTCCAATAGTATTCCAATCCGCTAACGAAATTACCTTCAGTCGTCGACAAAATCCAAAGCTTGTACCAAGGTAATAACTCCTTTGCATGAACTGCGCGTGAAGCAAACATTGACTTTGTACACCAAAACCTTAGGTCGCCCGGTCAGCATGAAGGAGTCAGACACACTGGTACCCATGAAATTCCAAGATACATATGAGGAACTTGAACACTGGACTCCTTTTTCATATTCTACGCAAGCAGATTCTGCCTATCTAGGCTCTCCTGCATACAGTATCTCGACATTTCGACAGCTCTGCCAGCTCTCGGTTATCCTCAGCGACATACTTAGCACTGTATACACCGAAAGAAGCTTCGACGTAGGCTCCACGGAGCTATCCTCTAAATTGGAAGTTATCCAACAAAAGTTGGTAACGTGGCGAAGGCTTCTGCCTGAGCATCTCGTTGTGGATGTAGAAAACGTTGCGCTAACGCCTCCCCCACATGTTCTAAGCTTGCAGTAAGTTCTGGAATCATCGAGGGTATCATGGGAATACTGAAAGCTTGCTAGTGCCCTTTACGGTGTACTTACAATCCTTCTACATCGGCCTTTTGTCGCCGACGGCCATCTCTATAATACTTCACGCGCCATTGCCGTCAACTCGTTCATGGCGTGTGCCACCGCCGCGGATGACATTGTACAACTTCTCCGAGCGTACGACAAAGCTTTCGGTGTACAAAGAGCTCCGTACTTGATCTCGTATGCGACGTACGTGGCTGCGACCATACATGCCCGTATCGCGGCGAGGCGTGGTCCAGGCTCTCAAGCTCACAGCAGCCTTGAGACCTGCTTAGCTGTCTTCCGCAAGAACCAAGAGACGAACTGGGCTGTGCGACGCGCCAGCGCCATTATACAGAACTTGATGACGAGGTTGGGAGTTGCTACGCCTGACCAGGACGATGCAGGCATTGATAGGGATATTCATGGCGACAACCATAGAAGCAGTGTGACAAATGCAGCGTCGAGCAGGCCCATGGACCGTGAGCGGAGCCTGCAGAGTATGGAAATTGATGGTATCATCCAGAGTTTTGTTCGGGAACGAGAGCAGGAGACATCGCATGTGGCGCGAACAGAACCAACAGGCCCTGCTAATCCTTCATACGCACCCGTACCTGGGCAGTCACATTCGGCCTTTTCGACTATTGAGACGTCAGATAGGCCTCACGAGAATCCCGGGACCTGGATGTATCAAGACCAACAACAACTCTTTAATGAGCAACCGGTAACTGTAGATGACCTCCTCTTTGGTTTCAATGGATCAGACCTCGATAACTTCCCGCTCTTAGACTGGGAGTAGAGAACGGGTAGACTAGCCGTGCGGGAACGATTCGGCCGACCGTACAGCACCCGCGAGCC